TAGCCTTTCTGTTAGTGGAAGAAGAGAAAAGCTATACTTGTTGTCTTTCATTCCTCTCTCTTCTTTCTTCTGTCGGATCATCTGCCACTGACAGCACTCACTTTGAGAGATAATTTTTCCACTAAAAAAAATTGATTCTGAAAGCTTGTGGAAGGGTGAGCTCCACATTGTTGCGTACACATGCTTGTCCCCTTGATTATTTTCTTGACTTAAAACAAGTTTAGAATCTTAGAACTTCACCTATGTATGGTTCATGCTCTCTGGCTCCTTTGTAGACTTTTAGAGTCCCTCACAACCTTTGATGGTCTTGCCTTATGTCTGGGGAAACTCCCCAGAACTATCTCAAAGCACTCCACCTGACTCAAGGCCACAGTGAGGTAGGTGAACCTCCCAGGATAGAAGGCAGTAGGTAGGTACTGCCCTGCCCTGCTTTTCTCCCAAACACAGAGGAAGGTTTGAGAAAACTGAGGGGTCTTAATAGCATCACTGGAGTCCTGATGTGGCGCTGTAAGTCAGTTTGAACAGCAAGCTTAGCAATTCAAGCTCACCAGCCACTCCTTGGAAACCCTATACAGGGTCACTATGGGTCAGAACCTACTCGACAGTACTTAACAACAATTGCATCACTGAAAATTCCCTACCCCACACCCATCTGCTTCTCACTTGTCACCCCTTCTCAGCAAGGCATGTATCTGCCATGGTTCATTTCACCAGGGCCTTAAAACTCCGGGAACTAGCATCTAGCAGCCTTGCTCTGAGACCCATATCCTACTTGCTTGATTTTCTAGAGAATAGGACAGATGGATACAGACAAACATGCCCAACATGGGCAATGTCTAAGCCATGTCCAAGACTGGCCAAAACAAATGGACTCCTGGCCTCCCAGCAGAGTAGGAATTTGGACAGTGGTTCCAAGCCTTTAGTTAGACCTTTTTTCCTTGTTGCTTTTAAATTTTTTATAATTGTTTTAAGAAATCCAGTCTTTCAGATCAGCCCTTTTATTAAACTTTGCATTGTTCTTTATTGATTTTTTTTTAAAGTAAAACAAACCCCCCAAATTGAAAGCACAAAACAAGAAAAAGCCCACTCCTTTTATCACCCTCTCCATCCACATCCTCTGCTTCACACTCCCCTCTACTTTTGCAGTTGATAATTCCTCCCTTTTTCTTGGCTTGAAGAATCTATGCCCAGCGTCTGTGAAATTATGTTTTATCTGTGTCTCAGGATGAGAAACGTCAATCATTCCATCAGGGGCTGGAAAATGGTTAGCCTTGAGGCAAGAGTTTCTAGGGCCACAGCTCAGGGATATACATTAATTACAGGGTCCCCAGAAACCCCTCTCTTGGCTGCCACAGGCAACTTCTTTCTTGGCTTGGAAGTCACACCTGGACTATTTCCTCAGATGCAGGCGTCCACTCCTCTGGCCAGACAGCCTGCTGAGTCTGGGAACAAGCTGAATCCTCTACAACAAAGATATGAGAAACAAAACTGATAGAGATGAACATTGTGGCACCCTGAACTTCAGCAGAAAGGTTAGAGAGGTGGATGGAGTGCTTGTTGGGAGGAGAGGCTGACTGGTAAACGGCTGGCCAGATGTGGCTCGACTATCTTGTGAGCAGCTTTGACAGGAGGCAATGGAAAATACGCTAGTTCTTCTCTTTCCCCACACTGCCCTGGTGACCAGAAGTGTGACCAGCTCCCACCCTCATCTACCCCCAGTGCAGACCCTGCTCTCCCGGAATTCAGAGCCACGTGGTTGGGATCCATGCCGGCATGAGGTGGGGGCTGGCTGTGCCACTTTGGTGTGTTGTTTTGGTGCCTAGATTCAGGTGGGCTTGGCTCTAGAAATACAAAACCCACAGAGCCACCAGACCAGCATTTAATTAGTCACCTTGCTCCCAGCTGCCCTGTGGTCCTAACAAACACTGAAAACAGCTCCATCAAGGGCCCCCACAAACTACTTCCAGATTGAGTGCTCTGAACATAGATAACACCGAGGCCAATAGGAAGTTCACCTAGGACCAGGAACTCTGCTGTCATATCCCTTCCACAACCACCTCGTGAGCTCCTTGAATTTCAGGAGGCCCCCACCCCTCTTCCAGGGCCAACAACTGCACTGTTTGATTTTACAAATACAACAACCTCACAATGCCCTGGAGACAACATACAATTTCAACTCACATGAAGAAACAAGAGAGAATAGCTCAAACAAATGATCAAGATGCAGAGACAGAAAAAATTCCTGAGGAAAAAAAGGTAATGGCATGAACTGAAAAGAATGATATTTTGGTACCTTAAACCAATTGACAAAAAGATCAAGAAAGCAAGGCGAACACAGAAAAAACTTTAGAATAATTTAGGAATTTAGGAAATAATTTAGGAAAATGTTACAAGAACAAACAGCCACACAAAAAGTTTTTTTAAAAAAATACTAAAGTGAGTTCTTTGGACAGAGAACCAACAACAGCAGACAACAACTTGAGATGAACATACTTTACAATATCACCCAGAACTCAACCCAGATAAAGAAGTATTCAAAGTAAAACAAACCTTCAAGAATGAAACTAGGGAATCAGAGATAGGAGTTTGCAGCATCAGTAACAACAGAAAACAAGTAATAAAAAGGGAATGACATAATTACAGAACTTTCAAATGAAGGAAATTTCATTTGAAATCAAGTAGATTTCAAGAAAAAAAAAATAAGCCTAAACGTAAGCCCAAAACTAGATCAAGCCTTACTCCTAGCCCTAGCCCAATCCCTACACTTTCCCTATTCCTTATCATAACCCTAACAATACACAGAGTCTGAGACCTAGCCATAGTTCTAACTTGAACTCCTTCCGACCCCACACGTAAATGAATTCCCTTCAAATATTACTGTGCTCCTTACTTAGACTAGGCTATAAGCACTTTAAAAGCAGATACCCCACTTCCTCATCTTTGTGACTTAAAATGAGTACTTATAAATGTTGACAATGTGTCTGGTGATTAAACAATTTGCAAGTATCACATAGAAGCTAACCCAGCCAGCTAAGCATAGTGGAATAGTGATTGGAAGCACTGCAATTCCAGAGAATGGTGTTCCCAACCAAGCTCTTACTAACCGATGTACTTTGGGGAAAGTCTCTATGTCATCTGTATAGGCAGAGCTTGAACCAGATGCTTTCTAATTCCCTTTCAGCTTTGAGTACATCTGTGGTTTTAAATTTACGGCAACTGCATATTCATTTGATGAATATTTACTGGACTAGGTGCCAGGTATTGTATGTAAAAGATAGGACTTCAAACTGAAGAGCTTTCAGAAGGAAGTTTTCTATAACAAGATAGGGTCAACTCAACTGCAAAAAAAAATAAAAGGTCATTTGGGGTCAAGGTGGGAAAGGGCATCCAGGACAAAGAAATGACTGCAGAGGTAGGAGGTATGTGGCTGAAGAAGATTTGTAACTCCAGCCATACAACTTAATTTCACACAAAGAATAAGACAACTTGAATGGCTTTTGTAGGCTGAGAACTATGCCTTGAAACCAACAGAGGACAGTCTATTTCAGCCAGAACATTCACAACTAAGAATGACTAGCTGAGGCATGCCCACAAACTAAACATTTAGGAAAGAAAGGCAATTTCTCTAACTGCTTCGTGTGCCATCTGATGACTTCTTCCCTGGTGACCATTGTTGTTGATAAGTGCCCAGTAGCCTGTTCCAACTCATAGCCACTCTGTACAGGGTTTCTGAGAAGCAGCTGGTGTGTTTGAACTGCTGACTTTGTGGTTCACAGTCCAGTGCTGATCCTACAGCGCCACATCAGGAGTTCGCTGTGACCTGTGGTGGTGCCAAATTCACCTTACACCATCTTCCCAACACACCATTGGAGGCCTGATGTAACGCTGTAGGATCAGCACTGGACTGCTAGCCGCAAGATCAGGGGGTTCAAACCCACCTTGGAAATCCTATATAGGGTCACTATTAGTATGAACCGATTGGACGGCACTTAAACAACAACAAATACAGTATAGGCACTGAGATGGGCACCGTCAGAGCAATCAATTGCTTATTTAATGTAATTTGGTGAGAAAGGGCACGGTCTAGGCACCCAGAAGCTAGTTAGGGTGGTTGCCCGCCACACGACCCCGACTTCCCGCGCTTCTTGAACGGCTGTTACCAGGGATTTGCTCCCCTCTTATTGGTCAGAGAGAAGCGCCTCCGAGAAATGTTTGTTACTAGAGGCGAGTAGGGAAGCCATTGGTTACTAGTGGCGAGTAGGGAAGCCATTGGTTGCTAGAGGCGAGTAGGGAAGCCATTGGTCAGGATACTTCACAATGGCTCCTCGGCAGCGTGCAGATTCTTCTGATTGGTTCGCTGTTGTCTCCTACGCCCCCCTATGGCCTCGTCCTCAGGCCACCAACTTCGCGCCCAAACCGACTCCTGCTCCCCATTGGCTATTCTGAGTGTTGCCACTTTCAAATAAGGAGCGAGATGCAAAGCTCCTAAACACGCATTCCCTGCAACGGGTTCTAATCCTGAAGTAGAGCGACACAGAACTGGGACTACAGGTGCCCAGGCTGCCTGCAAAGGCGCAGGGACTCGGCATTTTGCAGTAAGTGGAGGACGAAGGTCCACGAAGGACACTTGGTCTCCCTAAGGGATCTAGGCTGGTGCTCAGCCCTTGTGGAGCTCAGCATCTCCAGCCTGGAACTCAACCTGTAAGGGCCCTCCCTATAAGAAGTAAGTTCAAAGTACCCTCGTGGCGCGCAAACCCAGGGCCAACAGAGAGGGGTGCTCCCACTCCTGTGTTTTGTATCTGCGTTATCAGTTTCTCTACAAACTTATTTATTCGCAAATTGTTTATCAGCTCATTTATTTGCCTTTCTGGGTCCACTCTGCGCTCCACTTGATCAAAATTTTCTCATCAACGGTGTTATGAAATCCCAAACTCTATATAATTCGGATTGAAATCCGAACAAAGGAGTGGTGGAGGAAAGGTTAAAACCTAGTAGGGAAGATGTTCTACTACCCCAACGTGCTTCAGAGGCATACGGGCTGCTTCTCCACCATTTGGTAAGCTGGAGTCGGGGTGGGAGTACTCCGGGAAGGGTACTGGGAATCTCAGCCTGAGACTCCTTGCACCCCGCCCCGCTCCAGGTTGGCAGCTACGCGCGGCGGCCGCTTGATGAAGCGGGAATACCTGAAGGTGAACGTGGTGAAGACCTGGTAAGAACCAGAGAAGGGAGAAGAGGCCTGGCTCCTGAGTGGGTCAGGGAATGGTGGCAGTAGGCAAGGCTATGGGGCTGGTCCTCGGTGCAGCAGTGAGCAACAAGGAAATCTTTGATTTCTTGAAATTCTTCCCCCAGTGAGGAAATCCTAGACTACGTGATGGTTCGAGTGGAGCCCCCACAGCCTGGCCTACCGCGGCCCCGCTTCTCCCTCTATCTCTCTGCCCAGCTCCAGATTGGCGTGATCCGGGTCTACTCCCAACAATGCCAGTACCTCGTGGGTAAGAAGGGGAAGCCAGGGAGGTAGGGCAGAGCCAAGGCCCCTAGCTCCTAGTGCTAATCCTCCCGGTCCACAGAGGACATTCAGCACATCCTGGAGCGCCTGCATCGAGTCCAACAGCAGATCCGCATTGATATGCTAGAATCTGACCTGTGAGTGTTCCCTTGGACTGAGCCCGCCCAGCTTTTAGTGGCACCCTCACTTTCTTGGCCTCCTCCTACCTCAGTCTCAATCCTTGATAGACCACTCTTTCCTCCAGACCCAGCCTGCTGTTGCCTAGCCACCTGACTATGATGGAGTCCCTGGAAGATGCTCCTGACCCTTTTTTTGGGATGATGTCTGTGGATCCCCAACTCCCTGCCCCCTTTGATATTCCTCAGGTTAGGACTCAGTCCCCTGGGACACCTCAGACTCATGAAGAGACAATGTGGAAGGAGAGGGCTGTTCTTTGCCAGTCTGGCAATGGCTTAAGGAGATAGGGGCCTGCCAGAGTTCTTCCCCACAGGAGACACTGAGTTTATTCAGGCAAAGCTCCCTGCACTTACCTATTCAGGCCAGTCTGCTGGGACAGTGTCTCCACAAGAGGCAGCTCCTGTTCCTTCTGATCTCCACAGTTTACACTGCCGAGGTCCTAATCCTCCATACCCTCATCATCTCTCCACACTGGACTTAACCCATATCCTTCTTGAGCCATTTTCTACACCCCCAGGTCTTAGATAATGTCACCCCCTTCCTCCAATGGCTCCCAACTGCAAACAATAATAGCATTTGGGGCTCACCATACCCAGAGTCCTGATGTGGCACTGTGGTGGGTTAATGTACTTGACTGCAAAGTTGGTTTGAACTGCAAGGTCAGTGGTTCAAGCTCACCAGCTGCTCCTCAGAAACCCTATACAAGGTAGCTATGGGTTGGAATGGACTCGATGGCACTGACCACCACCACCAATACCCCCTGGTCCAGAGCTAACCCTCACTATACATCTCAGCAGCACCTCTGGGCATCCTTAGCTCCCAAGCACCATCTGGCCTCTAGATTGCACATTTCCTGTTCTCCTTCCTAGCCTACCTGGTCATCCCTATGCAGTTCTAGTAGTCACATCCTTAAAGACTTAGCTCACAGGCTGCCCTTTTTCATGCCTTTATCCCATCCCCCACCAGAATCAAATGCTGTGTGGAACTCCAGGCATTATTAGAGCTGTGTTTACCTTTTGTGTTAACTGTTGTTGGGGTCATATACAAACTTGTCTCCTTGCTAGATTATATGCTCTGTAAGATCAAAATTATTTTCTGTTCACCTCTGTGCCTCATGACACTTGACATAAGGATGCAGTGCTTGTTACATAGACAGACTGACAAAAGCTGAATGATGGGGGTTGGGAGGCATGAGAGATTAAAAGAGATCAGATGGGAAGTGGATTCACTCCCATCTGCAAGCTGTTATTAATGCCACGAGAATCAGACATAAAAGGGCATTACCATCTACTATCTGGATATCCAGGATCCCTGGTGTTGTACTGGTTACGTACTTGGCTGTTAACCAAAAGGTTGCTGGTTGGAACCCACTAACCACAAGGGAGAAACCTATAGCAATCTGCTCATATAAAGATCACAGCCTTGTAAAACCTATGGGGCAAGTTCTCCTCTGCCCTATAGGGTCAGGCACTGGGGATTGGAATCAACTTGGCAGCAGCAGGATTGATTTCGCTTTGATCTGAATATTTAAGTGAAGTAGAGAAGCAGGGAGCCGACACTGAATCCTATCTTCTGCCCCCAATTCCTTTCCAAAGATTCGACACCTCTTAGAGGCTCTGACCCCAGAGAGAGTTCTTAAGGAGACCCTTCCTGAAGTCCCCACAGAGCCCAAGAAGCCAGGTAAGCACAGAGAGCCTTCTTTCTTGTGAGAAACAAAGCCCAGAAGCAGAGGGATGACTATCTTTGAGCTATCTTTCCCAAAAGTCAGGCCTGGAGGGGCATGTCAACGTGTGCAAACTCATCACTGCCTCACAAGTCATAGGATGTCACATTTTTTGTCCCCACTTTACAGGTGAGGAAAGTAAGGCTACTTGGGTTAAGCACAGTACCCAGGGTCAGATTGCTGATGACGTGGCTTGCATCTGACTAGCACACAGGTTGACTTGACACCAGAGTCTGTTGTCTCATTGCATGGGTGTGGGGTCCTGGAAAGGGGTTAGTGTGACTTCTCTGACTCTCCAGACAGGATCATGGGTATTGTGAGCGCACCTGAGACCATCACCATCCAGGAGAAAGAGCCCATACACATATTGCAGATCGAGGTGAGAGATTGTTCATACTCAGTGCCCTCGGCCAAGTCCTGCTTCTGAGCCCATTCCCCCTGCACCTACTTCTCTCTGCTCAAGAGTCTTGCCATCTCCATGTCCATTTCTGTACTCCCTGCAGAGCACTGGAATACCCAACTGGACTCTCTCCTGGCCCTGTGTCATGCTTTGAGTCCTCCTGGATCTACTTGCCTTTTGCAAAAATGAGATCAAGTTCCCTGTTACTCCCAACAGGGTGAACAGGACCTCCCTGAGGTCAGCCGCCAAGACCTTGACCTCCTGATGGCTGAGGAAGATGAAGCGATCTTGTTAGAGGAGCGTCGGCAAGCCAGGCTTCTCCAGGAGCAAAGGGCCCCTCCAGTGCTGGATGGTTAGATCTTCAGCCCAGCCAGTCTGGGACTGGGCAGTGCTCCCATCTTGTCTCTTCTACCTCCTAAGCTCTAATTCTGTCTCTTGCAGAGACCAAGGAGGAGCCCCGGGCCCCAGAGGGTGAACCCACAGTCCCACCAATCTCACCTCCAGCTACTGCGCAGTAAGGGCTGCAACTTCTGGGCCAGGGAGGAACCAGTGCCCAATTGGTCTCCTGATTTCTTTTATCCATTTCTTGTTAGGGTGGAAGAGGCAGCAGAGCCACTTCCAGGCCAGGTGGTGGGCCCTGAGAAGGAACAGCTTGCGCCTTGGGAGCCAGCGGCTCTAGTCAGCGGTAAGTGTCTGCCTTGCACAGGGCTCTCCTCAGAGCAACTGCACAACTATTCCAGATAGCTACCCCGTGTTCCACTTTGCTCAAGGGAGAGCCCTCTAGCTTGCCTGGGCGGCTGGCTGCAAGGGCAAAAAAGCCTATGGGACAGAGCAGGGACCTTGGGTGTTGTTGCAGAGGTGACCCCTCCCCAGGAGCTGCGCATGCCAGCCCCACCCAGTCTAGAGGTGAGTAATGTTTCTCCCAAGTTTCCTTCTCTTTGCTCTCCTCCCACAAGTACTTTCCCAAGTCCCAGCCACTGTTAGCCAACACAGGGCTTTTGCGCAGGGCTTCCTGATACAGGCCTGGGGGCTGCACAGCTCTGGAGGTCCTACCCAACCCCTTCCCAGGGCACCTGTGTGAGTAGGTGCTTGGAGCCCTTTACAGTCCAAAATGACAAGAAAATAAGTAATGAGTAGCTGGGTCCTCCAACCCTTTTCTACTCAGCGGAAGAGGCCCCCAGTCTCCCCACCTCCTGGGAGCCCACCTGCTCCCCGTCGTCCTCGCCGCCGCCGCCAGTTACTGTTCTGGGACAAGGAGACTCAGATCTCCCGAGAGAAATTCCAGGAACAACTGCAAACCAAAGCCCACTGCTGGGAATGTGTGAGTGGAGGCTCAGGACCTTCTGTGGGAAGGGGTTGCTTGGGATTGCCTGGAGGAGCACTGGGAATTTGATGGAAAGAAAACTTGTCTCCCAGGAAATGTAGGTGACATGGGTTTGCACAGCTACAATTATCCATGCTTTTAGTGACCGTGCCTAGCACGTTACTGGGCACCAGATTCTAGAGTCTTAAGGGGGGGGGGGGGGTTTCAAAAAGTTTTTGGCAGCATTCCATCTTTTAATTCCATTTTCCCACATGTGTTTTTTGAAGTCCCCCTCATAGTTTTAGCAATGAGTGGGCTCAAACCAGGTGTGAGCCTGAAAGAGGCAGTAGATTATAGCTTCTTGAACAAAAGAGGTTAAGTAGTTCCTCTGTAACTGGGTTTCTGGTCTCCCATCCTATAGCCCATGGTGCAGCCTCCTGAGATGATGACCATGAGTCCTGCTGAGTTGTTCCAAACCCCAACTTACTGTAAGAGTGGTGGGGTTGGATACTGAGTCCACTCAGAGCCCATATTCCTCACTGTTGCTTTGTCCCTCAAACCCTGATTCCATTGCCCCATGTCCCCAGCTGGCTGGCTACCTCCAGAACTACTAGCTCTCTGGACCCGTTGTGCCAAACTGCCCCCAAGAGTACTCAGACACAAGCCACCCCAAGAGCCTGAAGAGGAAACAGCTGAAAGGGAGGCAGCAGCTGAAGAGGAAAGAAGGAAGACTGAAACTCTGAGTGATATTGAGGTAACGGCACCTTGAGGCCTTCCCAAATCACTTCCCAGCATGCTCTTCTACCCACATAGCAAGCAAGCTCACTAGCCTTGCCTCTTCTGAGGCCCAAAGCCCTGGTCCTGGGCAGCAGCAAACAGTATGCCCAGGTCCCAAAGCCAAGACTAAAGATGCTAACACCCCTTCCCACACCAACTGCTCATACTAGGTGCTTCTGTGATGCTTGTGTTGTTTCTGGTCCCAGGTCCTGAGGGAGGCCCAGGAGCCCAGTGGTCTCCTGCTGTCTTCAGGTAAGGCTGATGGGAAGGTAAGCCATGGAGAAGAGGGAGGGCAGTGGGGGCCATCTTAGACTGTTGATCTAAGCATGGTCCCAAGAAACTGATTCCCAGCATGCTGACACTGTGTTTACTGGGGCATGGCAATGTGTGTAACACGAGGAAGCAGACTGGAATCTTCTCAGATCTTCTGCCTGTGTGCTCTAACAAATCACTTTTCCACTCTGGCTGCTCAGATCCAAGCAGAAACCCTCCCTAGTACCTCCCCTCTCCCCCATAGAGCTCTCCCTAGAAACTGCTGAGGAGGAGAAGTCTCGCACCAGCCTCATCCCACCGGAAGAGAGGTGGTAAGCAGCCAGGCTGTGTGCAATTGGGGCTGTAAACCTGGCAAAGCCAGGGAAGACTGGGGTGGTTAGGCCCCATGTCACATTATAGGTACTACCCTCCCTCCTGTCTGCCTGGCTTCTATGTTCTCCCAGGGCCTGGGCTGAAGCGGAGCAGCCAGAGCCCACAGTGCTGCCTGTGGTACCCGAAGTCCCTGAAGTGCCTGTGGAGATGCCATTAGAGCTGCTCCCCGAGCCTGAGTTGCTCTCGCTGGAGGCTGTGCACAGGTACCAGGGGGGTGCCTCACTGGGTTGGACCTGCCCTGCAGCCTTAGCTAATGGCTCTTAATCCCTATAGGGCAGTGGCATTGGAGCTGCAGGCCAACAGGGAGCCCGACTTCAGCAGCCTGGTGCCCTCTCTCAGCTCCCGCAAGACGGCTGCCCGAGTTTTCTATCTGCTCCTGGGTGAGTGTGCGCATGTGTAGGGTGGGGAGGAACAAGTCAGAGGCTGCTGTAGGAATGAACTAGGGACAGAGAGAGAGTACTCCTGACCTCACCCTTTCCTCCTCTCTTGCCTAGTGCTCTCAGCACAGCAGATCCTTCGTGTGGAACAAGATAAACCATATGGGCGCCTCTTGATCCAGCCAGGACCCAGATTCCACAGTGGTTAGAGCTCAGTTACATAGCTGCCAGGAAACTGGCTACATTAAACCATGTCTTCCTTCACCGGGTCCTGACTGCCTCCTTTTTTGAATGCACATCTGCCCTTGCTTCCCTCAGAGGTACTGTTCAAGCAGAAAACTGCCTTTATTACAGTATGATGTCAAGACTCCACTATGCTATCCCATACCATAAGAAGTCCAGCCCCAGAGACAACCCTGGAAGGCAGCAAACAGGGCTGAGTCTCTGATCTGAAGGCCTAGGTCTTTGGGAAGGTGCAAGCTTGCACTGGGCCGAGAAGTGGTCTTGAGGCCTGGGCTGCTCTGTTCTTCTAGCCTGGCCATAGTTCACAGTCTAGGTGAGGCCCAGAGTGGCCTGGAGCTCTTGAGCCTTGTCGCCAGGCAGTGAGCCCAGGGCAGTCTGGAAGCTGTCGGCATGCTGTTTGGCCAAGAAGGTCAGGAGCAGCAGCAGGGCAGCCTTGGCATCTGGGTAGAGTTCAGAGGGCAAGATCTCAGGAGAACTGGTTGCTAACCCTTGCTCCACTCCCAAGTCCTCTGAGCCCTGTTGCTCCAGCCTCGCCACGCCACCACTGCCAATCTCACCTGCGGAGATCTTGTTGTCAGTTACCACCAGGCTGCAGATGCGCAAGAGTTCAGGAGCCACATCTACCACCTGGGGGGAAGAACAGCAGATTCGGGCAGTAGCACCCCAGACCTTAGGACTCGGCAAAGAGTTCCAGAGGTTCCAGAGGCAGGGCTGCCCTTTCCAGATGGGCTGGGGTGATAAAAGACCGTGGAGAGGAGGAGTCTGCTTAAGTGTGATACCCATTCCATACGCATACAGACAGTATGAAGAGTCACTGGGGCAAGGCATTCAGTTTTCTTAGAGTGGACAAGGAACATGTGAACAAAGGTGACTGAAGTCGGGACCTTAAGATCATACAGCCATACACTGGTTCTAAAGGCTAAGACAAAGGACACACACAGGTACATTGGAACACGAGCCTAGAGTTAGCCGTTTGGTACAAAGTCTCTGGTGGGATGGCCCAGAGGTATCCAGAGCACTGTGCAAAAGTCCTGGTCTAGGACAGCAGCCCTAAAAAGTAACTTCTGGCAGAGACCAGACAACAGAAATGGCCAGAGGATAATGCTCCCTGAGGGAAACCTCTCCTGTCATAACAGGACTGGCTGCAGACAAATTAAAATAGGGTAGATCTAGAACACCTAATGACAGCTTACATTCACCACTCTGTGTCAGCTACAAGTGGTGCCAGCTCTGCCTCTGAGATTCTGTGGAAGCTGCTGCCACCCAGCACCACCATTACCTGGTCAGGACTGCTCTGGTAGAGAAAGCTGAAGAGGTGTCCAATGGTGACCCATTCCTCTAAGTCCTCCTTCAGTGGCAGGGCATGCAGCAGGGCGGCCAGCACCTGGACACACAGATACCTTAAGCCTATATACGCTACCCACCTCCTTGTCTTCCTGGGCCTATCTAATGCCCCCATCCCTCACCTGGGGTTCCGGTTTTCTTGTGGGACTGGCCATCAGCAGGCGGGCAAGTGCCCCACAGATGTTGTCACGGACACGATCATGGCGCTCCCGTGCTAAAAGGGGCAATAGGAGCCCCAGGAGCTTGGGGAAGTGTCTGATCACAGTCAAGGAACAGGTATACACAGAGGCAGACTCCCTATCCCCAGGCCCCACAGGCCAGTCAGGAGCACAAACCTGGGAAGACCCTTCCCCCCGCCCCCTTATCTCAGCTCTGGTGGATCCTGGACCTCTCTTGCAAACTGAGGATACTCCTGGGCAGGACGGCCCCCATGTTCTGCCAGCACGCCCAGCCCGAAGATGGCATTGCTTCGCACTTCAGGGTCTGCCTCCCGGGCAGTATTCAACAGTACGGGGAGCAACCGAGAGACAAACTGGGCTGAAGCAGCACCCAGGCCCTGAATGGACTCCGCCAGTGTTCCTACCGCAAAAGACTTCTCTGCTACTGTGCAGCCCTGTTTCTAGTGTGGGGAAGGTAAGTGAAAGTCAGCTAGGGACAGACATACTAGGGGCTGGGAGTGGGACAAACATTGTCGGGTTGGGCACAGGTGGAATGGGATGGAGAACTCACTGTCTTGCATAGCAACAAAGGTAAAAAGCCAGCAAAGAAGGGAGAAAAGGCACTTCCCCCAGCTGCAGCTGCCAAAGCAGGGATGGCTTCTCCGGCGTGTTCTAGCAACATGGCGTCGTATTCAGCCTGTGGAGCCAGAGCGGGGGCTGAGCTCTGGGGTCAGCTTCATGACTGTGTGCACCTCCCAACCATACCCTGCCAATGGGCAGAGGTAGCCCCAAGTTGTTGCCCACGGATGACAGGACCCAGCCCTGGGCTTTCTCATCATTCTGGGCCCACCCAGGAGCCCCACCTCCAGGAAGCCTTCCCCAGATGTCTCAGCCCACACTGCTTTCATTCCCCCAAACGCTTGGTGGGCTCAACACTGAGTCATTCGGAGCCCCCATCTCATTCTCTGACTTCCGATGGCCAAGCCCAGCTGCACTGTCCGCCCCCACTCTCACGGAGACTAAGCTGACTGCCTGGTCCCCACAATTTTTATCCAAGCGCTCACCTGGTCGTCATCCTCCTCCTCCTCCTCGTCAGTGTCCTGGCAGGCTGTCTGTGGGCATAGGGAGCTCAGCTCAGCCCGGCTCTCCTGCCTTCTCCTTTCCATGCGGCTGGCGCACCAACTCTCCCTCAGCCCACATGCCCTGCTCACCTTCTTCTGCAGCACGGCCTTGAGCATACTGCAGAGCTCCGCAAGGCGCCCAGGGGGCTGTAGTGCGACAGTCCCGCAGCTGTGCAGCACCCCCGTCAAGGCCTCCAGCACAGCCATCACCACCTGGCGTTCCCGCTCCCCACTGACCGCCTGCATGTAGGACGGTACCACCCGAGCCAGGGCAGCCTGCAGAGCTGAGGACATCACTGTGATGGCCTGGCCACACCTGAATCCAGAGTCCCAAGCCCTAAGCCCATTTCCCCATCTCACCAGCAGTGTTGGGTTCTGAGGGGCAGCTTTGACAGGCCTTGTGCAGTGCACAGCAGAACTGACCCAGAGCCTCATGGGCTGCTTTCCGAACGTTCAGGTGAGGGCACTATGGAAGGAAGGAGGTAGCGAGGCATGCCAGCAGCTTGTGGACCCCACCCACCCCTGCACAGGGACCTACTCACTTCCAACAGTTGAAAGACTCCTTCGAACACACTTTCCATGTAGGGAAGGAAGGCCACGCTGTGGAGACACAATGGCCATGAGGAAGGGGCTCCAAAGCAGGTTCCCAAGGCCAGAGAAGGGGTGTTACTCACCCAGTGTTCACAGCAATCTCCCCCAGGGCAGCACAGGTATCTTCCTTCTCATCGAAGAAGGCATTCTCCACACTGTACCTGTGGGGAAGACATAGAAGGCAGCGGTCATCAGGCAACGGGGCCTCGTGCAATATCAGAGTCAGGATTTCTCTGAACAGAGTAGCAGCCTTCCGCACCCTGAGATCTCCGAGTCCTCCTCCTCTTCCACGTCCTCGTCCATGAGCTCTTCCTCCTCCTCTTCCCCTTCACTCTCATCATCAAACAGAAGGAAGGAGCTGCTACCGTCATACTGAGGCTGGACACAAGAGGCACAGGAGGGATTCGGGCTCAGCTGGGTCCAGGTGACACAGCCCATCCCAGGTGGGCCCTGCCTTACTGTCCAGCCCCACAACTTACCACAATGCCCTCGGTGGAGCACAGCGACAACAGCATGAGCGTGGTGATTCGTGGCAGGTAGGGGGCCAGGCCCTCCCCCATCAGCCCTGATAAAGCTGCAAACAGGCCGTATCTGGTAGAGACAGATGGTGACTGTGCAGTTAAGTCTGCTGTAGTCAGATACAATGGGGGAGCCTGGGGGAGACCTGGCTATGGCCCAGAGTCCTAGCAAGGAGGGACTGTGGATCCAGTGGGTGAGTATATGGGGTGGAGTTCGGGGTCACTCACGTGCATCGCCTCAAATCAGGGTCGTCTACCTGGTCGCACAGACCCAGGCCCAGCTGACAGCATTCCTCAGCCAGGGGCCTCATAGGCTCCCCCACTGCTCGTGCCAGCACCCCAAGCGTCTCTGTGGAATAACAGTCTGGTTAACACTGAGGAGCACAGCTGAGCAGGAGGTGGGCAGGGTGGCTGCTGGGGGGATTTAGTCTCCCCTAGTCCTATATACAGAGTCCTGGTGTGGCGCTGTGGGCTAATGAGTGAGACTGCAAAGCCGTTTGAACTGCAAGGTTGGTGGTTCAAGCTCACCAGCTGCTCCTTGGAAACCCTGTACAGGGTCGCTATGGGTCATAACTGACTCAGATGGCACTTAACAAGAACAGTCCTATATACAGCGCAAAGAATACCAACTCCAACATGAAGGAAGACACCGTTGCTGCGCTAGGGGAGTGCCCCGCCCTGGAGCCCGCACTCACCCAGGCTCTGGATCCGCACTGGCTGAAGGTCCTCGTGGCCTGTTACAAGGAATTCCCGCAGGCACTGCACAATAGTGGGGAAGTAGGGCAGCAGGAAGCTCTGCGCAGCCGTAGCTGCAGGATGGAGACAGAATCCCGGTTAGAGGAGTCTGGGACCTGCATAGACTCTCTGGGTGTCCCCTGTGCTGCCTGCCCCCAGCTCCTTCTCACCAATGGCCCCCAGGGCGCTCACAGCCAGCTCCTTGGCTCGAGGGCTGCTGGAGTTCCTGAGAGGCTGCAGCATACAGTCCAGAAGCTCCGGAAGGTAAGGCTGCACCTTGGGCCCTGTGGGAAAAGCACTCCTCTCATAACCAAGTCAAGTCTCAAACGCCCACACCTCCCTCCAGGTTGACCTCAGTGTGGCTCCTGCCACCCCCCACCCCCGTGCCACCCCACACACTTGGTCCCCAGTGCAGACTCAGGGAGTGGCACATCCTATCCTTTTCCATCCAAAGGTGCAGCAGCCTCTCCAACACCCCCTTCCACCACTACCTAAGTTCTCCACAAAATTCTCCAGGGCATAGCAGGCCTTGGCTAGATGATGTGTATGTCCAGGTGGCACCGACTTCAGGTAGGTAAGGAGCAGTGGCATCACCTCCCCTGAGTAGCTACTGATGTGGGGCTGAGAGAAGAAAGGAAGGCCTGGATCAGACTCAACTGTGGGAACACACTTGAGTGTCAAGCTAACAGGAATGCTTACAAAGAAGATGACTGCTGAGGACAGCAGGGTCGGTTCTGGGGATGGGCAGGGACTGAGGTGGCTGCCAATAATCAGCCTGGCTGACCTGCAGGTTCTCTGAGAACTGGCCCAGGGCGAACAGTGCGGCATTGCGTACAACTTGTGATGGGTCCTCCAGGCCCTTGCATACAATCTGCAGCAGCAGGGGCAGCAGTCTGGATGTGAGCAGGATGAGAAGATGGAGTCTGAGGAGGCAGGACCTGAGAGCCCCAGGCTGGCCTGTTCTCTGTTCCCCGGAGAAAACCAAAGCTTCCTCTGTCACCAGATGGTGGGCACCAACCCCTGGCCCCTATACCCAGGGTAATTCTCTAATTTAGCCTCCAAATCAGAACACATTTAAGAGTGGAGAGAAATGCTACTAATAAGCCAGAATCACCAAGAATAACCAAGGTGGGCACCAACCCCTGGCCGCTCTAGCCAGGGTGATTATCTAATTTATCTTCCAAATCAGAACACAGTTGAGAGTGGAGAGGAATGCTACGAACAGGCCAGAATAACCAAGGTTGCCCTGGGATCAGTGGCCTTCCTCCCTATGGTCTCCAACCCTATCCAAGTGGGGGAATATACACCTTTGCCTGATGTGGTCACCAGCTCCATCGGATAGCACAGCCAGTACAAGAAGGCCAGCCTTGCGCTGGTATGGGCTCTCGCTCTTCAAGGCCTCTTCCAACATGGGCATCTAGGGAGGCATGGGGCACTCTCTTGAAATCCCAGAGAGAGAAGCTGCCCCTTCCTGTAGCAACAGGCCCTTCACACCTACCAGGGCTAAAACACCCTCAGGACTAGGAACACCCATAGGCAGGGGCACCAGAAGGCAGAGCCACACTTACCAGCTGGGGACAGAGCTTCTCAGGGGGCAAGTGCAGTGCCAGCATGTCCACAACCTGAAAAAGGATGAGAAGATTTAGCTTGACTCCATATCTGCAAACCCAACATACCCTAGCAATGTAACAACTCACACCCTGGCCCGGTCCTATGTCCCACCTGTACAGCAAAGTGCTTGGGAGTTTCTCCCACTAGTCCAATGTCCAACTCTTCCTCTTCTGAATCCTGGTCCTCGGGATCCAACTGGCCCAAAGGGGGCTCAGCAGCCATAATAGGAAAAAGGGTTTGGAGCAAGGGTGGCAGCAGACGATTCTTCAGTAAGGCCTTGAGGAGGAGGTGGAAGAGTGTCTCTAAGAATCTGCTCCCAAGATGGGCTAATGATAAAAAAGAACAACAACCCAGTCTTCCAGGCCATAAGAGGCCCTGCAAAAGATCTCTAGTCTACTGGCCGGGAGCTGGGGTGAGGCCAAATCAAAGACTGAACATCTTAGCCATGATGCTTTGGATATGTTGAGGTGAACAAAGAGCCCCAGAAAGAAGTGAGACTAAGAGGGGAGACAAGGGTGAGGTGATGGAGGTGAGGAGACACTAAACTCACCTTGCTCTTGACTTTGACCAAGAAAGTAAGGCAGCACAGAATACGCACTCGTATTGCATCGCCCAGGGTTACGTTTCCAGCCACCTGCCGAGAGACTGAGAATCAGAGAAAAGCAAGCAAACTCCTAGCAGAACATGCAGCAGAGGCAAGCCCACCCCAGTCTCACCGCCAGGCAGAATGTGAGGACCTCAGAGAGGTGGGGGGTGATGATGGGCACCTCTGACTCCAGTAGCTCGTCTAGGGCCTCCAGGGCCTCACAGGCCTTTGCCTGACAGACACACAGAAGGAGAAGTCATAAGGTTACCATAAGTCATAAGGACAGACCAAGCTGGGTGCTCCTCGCTCTCCTTGCAATAGAGAGCCCTGCCCACTTGTCCTCACCTCATCTATGGGGATCAGAGTCTGCACGGCCACGATGAGCTTGGGCACTAACATCCGCGCGAGAGGCTGGAGGACACAGGATATGCTGAATCACAGAAACCATGGTGCAGCCTAATCTCAGGTCCCAGAAGCTAGCAGCTTCCACACAGTCTAGACTCTGAGGAGTCCAGCAAGGCCCAACCACCCACAATCTCTTCTCTCAATAGCCAAGGACAAAAGGCAGAAAGACAACCAAGCTCTGTAGGCTGCAAGGGTGAGGGCATGAAGCCCATGGATAGGGAGCTGGGGCAGGTGAGGGCCTAGATCTCACCACATCATCAGTGCCAAGATAGGGGGCCATGGTGGTCAGAGTGCGCAGGGAGTAGAAGAGCAGCCCGGGAGAACCCACAGCACCAAGAGTCTCATTCAGAAGGCGTAGCAGCTCCCGGTGGTGGGCTTGGAAAGCTTCAGGCCTGGAAGTCACCACCACACTCAGCAACAAAAGCCCCATCTGTCCAGGAGTAGGGGATGAGGGGAGAAGTTTACACGGTTTATCCAGCCTTCAATCCCTCCCTCCCACCAACTATGCAATGGTACCTCTCTCTCGGGGATGTGAGGACTGTGGGTACTATGCTGAAGAAGCTGCATGAGCTGAGGCCAGGCTTCCAGGCCTTCCTTCCGAAAAATGGCGGCTGTGAGCTGGGCCAAGCTGAGGCTCACAGAGTGCCTGCCAACAGGAAAGATCACCCTCCCCTGCACATGCTGGCCCAGCTTCTATGGGCATCCAAGTGAGAAACCCCAAGAAGTGTGGGCACAGAGTCAAGGTGGGATATATAAAACAGTGGTTTCGAGCTAGCCTAGGAACTCTGCTGTTGTTAAGCGTCATCTAGTTGGTTCTCACCCATAACAACACTGTAGAGGGTTTCTGAAGAGCAGCTGGTAAGCTTGAACCACCAACCTCTCAATTCAAACTGACTTTGCAGTCCAGCACATTAACTCACATCGCCACAGCAAGACTCCATTGTTGTTAAGTGACATGGAGTCCAAGGAGTGGCTGGTGAGCCTGAACTGCTGATCTTGCGAACTGACCCTGCAGCCCAGTACATTAACATGCAGCACCACACCAGGACTCCAAGGGATCTCTGTTGTTGTTGTTAAGCGCCATCGAGTCGGTTCTGACCCATAGCGACCCTGAACAGGGTTTCCGAGGCTGTAAGTCTTTACGGGAGTAGAAAGCCTCATCTTTCTCCCACGGAGCACTGGTAGTTTCGAAATGCTGACCTTGTGGTTCACAGTCCAAATAGCAGCCACTACGCTACCAGAGCTCCTAAGGTATCTCTGGGGGCATGTAATTTGGTCAGTCTTAGATTGAATCCCCATCTCATTCTTCTAACTCAGGTTTAGTATATGATCATAGCTCATTCTCAAGAACTTCAGACTTCAACACAGATTTAGAATCTTCGCTCCATCCTAAATCGAGAATTGCCCAGCAAATCCCAGCTTGAAACTGAAAAGGCGGCAGAAACCCAGAGAGGGTCTCAACCTGGAGTGCGTTAGGATCCAGACAGAGGACGGGTAGGTACTTACTCTGTCTCTCTCTGCAGGGATGTCAGTACCAGGGACTTGAGACTGGAATACAAGCAGCAGGTGTTTTAGTCCCGGCCTGCCCAGGAGTCCGATCAGCCTGGCCCCGCCCCTCCCCAAGCCCAGCCCACCTCTCCCGAGGTTCCGTTGCCAGTCGCCGCCAGCGGGTGTTCAATCGTCTGCGAATCAGCACGGCTGCGAACTGGCGGATCTAGAATGAAGAGAGCAGGTGTGGCAGTCCGGGCAGGAATCAGTGGTATACTGTGGGAAGCTCGGAGGGAAGGGGCAGGGGCGTCACCTGGGGGTCGGCCGCTGAGGCCAGCAGGTCGCAGAGTACGGGCAGGGCGGCAGGGTCCCGAAGAGCGACCTGGAGCTGTTCGGTGGCCTGGGGAAAGGCTGGGGATCAGAGTCAGGTCTTTCTTGCCACCGCCCGTTCACCCAGGCCCGGTCCCGTCTGCCCCGTACCCGGCGGATGCGCTCGGTGTCTGGCAGTAGTAGCTCCCGTAGGATTTGTTCTAGGCCGGTGGGCTCCATGGTAGCAGCTGAGCCGTCGCTACTGGGCCAGGAGGGGGGAGGGACAGCACGTGGAAGCTGACATTACTTCCGGCGGAAAGGGCGTTGCTTCGTGCCCCTCCCGTTGCCAGGGTGATTCAACTCACTGCTATAAAGAGCTCCGACTCGCCACTTCCGTTGGGCAGTTACCGGTTGAGCAGAAACAAGACCCAGACAATGTTGGTTCCCCAGCAGACAGTTCCCAGGCCACGTTGGAGAACTCTTAAGTTTCCTGAATTTGGAGACCAACCTGGTTTTCCAGAGTCCTGGTGTGGCGCTGTAGGATAAGCACTGGACTGCAAGGTCGGCGGTTCAAATCTACCAGCCATTCCTTGGAAACCCTATAAAGGGTCACTATGAGTCAGAAGCGACTCGATGACACTAAACAACAACAACGTGTGCTCTTAACAGTAGTAATAGAATGCCTATATTCCAGACCAAGACCTCCAACTACAGGATCCTTTTTCTTAATAAATTTTATTTTGATATTTGTAAAAAGAAAAATTGGGACCAAAACTAATGGCAACTTAAAATGTCCAAATATATACTCCTCATATAATAGAGATTTTAAAATTCCAGGCCCTCTCTAGGTAAGAGAGGACCAGAGGACATAGGAAAGGCAACAATGCCATCACACAATTCAGTCACTCAATCAGAAGTGAAATGGTAGGAGAAATCAAAGGGGCATGAAGAAAGGGCTTAAGAGAGGAGTTCTACCACTCAGAACTCAGTCCATCTTGAGGTTAACATAGATATAACGGATGAACTTTAGGGAAGAAAAAAAGGAGATGGTGCCCAGCATGAGGAAAAAGACATAACCAGTGAGTAAGGAGTAGCCAAAGAACTCTACTGTCTGTACTGCCCCTGACATATTGGAGCGCCGGGCATAGTAGAAGACTGAGTAGAGGAAGATGAAAAGTCCGGTGGAGCCAACACTCAGCACAGATCGCCACCACCAGCGATAATCCTCCCCAGACAATTGGAAGTAGGTGAGTGCGATGGAGATGCAAGCACCCACACTCAACAGGATGGCGAAGACAAAGAAGAGGATGCCGTACAGTGTATACTGCTCCCGACCCCAGACTGTGGCAAAGATGTAGTATAACTCCACAGAGATGGCACTGTAGAAAGAAGAAACAATATACCAAATTAACGGACTGTGCACTGTCAGCACAATGATCTGACACAATGTTGCTATGTCACTGTGAAAAATTGTTCTATTCCCTGGCTTCATAGGGGATTCTTTGGCCTATAATTGTGGTTGTGTGCCACCAAGTCAGTTCAGACTCATAGTGACCCTATATAGGGTTTCAGAGGCTGTAAATCTTAATGGGAGCAGAAAGCCTCATCTTTCTCCCACGGAGCCACTGGTAGATTTGAACTGCTAACCTTGTGGCTAGCAGCCCAGTTTGTAACCCACTATGCTACCAGGGCTCCTTTTACCTATAATTAGCTGCTGTCATTTTAAGAATATGAGACAGATTAAGAGCAGGGATCTTGTTTAATTTTCTGCTGTTACCTGCCTGATACAAAGAACTACCAACAAGTTTAGTAATCAGTGAATAATGGGCTTTAAGCCCCACATGAGGCTTGTAGACACTAAAGTCAGAAACCAGGAAGATGGTGAAGGAAGCAGTGTCTCTGGAGAGCTTTAAAAGTGAGCCCCTCCCATATCTGAACTAACTCCAGCTCAGTTCTGCTTAGAGATAAGAGAAACCAGGTAATGACCTTTGAATGTTAGCTGTAGCTGACCCAGACATTATCACTGAATTGGGTTGGGGTATAGAGTGGGTAGGGAAAGGAAAAATCAAGGTCAGGGACTTGAAAGTGACCACAGAATCAAAGAAGAATACCTGAAGGGCAGGAAGCCTCCAACAGTCATGTGGATGAGGGTAGACTTATACCAGGGCTGGGCTGGGATCTCGCGCGCGATGTTTTTGGTGCGACAAGGTGCATCAAAGAGGCTAGCATTGTTCTTCCCGAAGATACCTCCGATGACAGTGAGAGGAAAGCCCACCAGCAGCCAAACCGTCAGGAGCAGCAGGATGGTGGTAGCTGGCAGAGCCTGTGTCGAACCATTGGCCCAATGCACTGAGTTCACCACACTCCAGGTCAGGAAGAAAGGAACTGCAGGGATATGTCCCCAGAGGAAAGGTCAGCACTAGGAGCTATATCCCACTCAGACTGCACTAGAAGGGGATGAGTAAAGTAACTTAACCACTCTATGGGTACACCCATGCTCCTGGAGGTCCACACAAAGCCTGCTCCCCTTACTGGCACTCACCCATGTCCCATTGTTCCTCGTCCTCATCTTACCAACGCACCCTCCCCTATCCAATGTCATTCAGGGTCAAGATGGTTGTTGTTAACTGCCATCAAGTCAATTCCAACTCAGGCAAACTTGTATAGGTTTTCCAAGGAGCAGGTGGTGGGGTTTGAACCACTGACGTTGCAATTCAAACCGACCTTGTGGTCCAGTGCTTTATCCTACAGCACCACACCAGGGCAGCTGCTACGTAATGATATAAGAGTGACACAAAACCCACCTGCCTTCAGGGATCTGAAATTCTTAGGATGACATATTCCTTTAGTGTAAGGCCCTATTTTCAGAAACACCTGGTTTACAAATAAATGTAATGGAATTTAAATTAGACAGGATTGAGAACAGGAAAGATCCTGAGTACAGATTACTACTGCCTTTGAAAAGGCAAGTTGGTATGAAAAGTTGCATGGGGTTACCCTCCAAAATAAGAAAAAAAGAGGGGGGGCATCAATTCAAGGGAGTTATTTTAATGCAGGAGTCCTGATATAGCGCAGTGGGTTAATGTGCTGGACTACAAAGTCGGTTTGAACTGAAAGATGGGTGGTCCAAGCTCACCAGCCGCTCCTTGGAAACCCTATACAGGATCACTATGGGTCAGAATCAACTCTACAGCATTTAATAACAACAACATTTTAATGTAGAAGGTTATTTTAGTGTAGTGGTTGAGAATACAGGTTCTGGAGTAAAACTTCCTGTGTCTGAAACCTGGTACTTTACTTTTTAGGATTATAATCTTGAGCAGGCTATTTATTTAGCCAGTCTGAAGTCATTTCGCCATCTGTACAATTTTGTCGTCTGTAAAATGGGGAAAATATTACCTACCTAATTTGATAAAGAAATGTAGAGCACTTAGTACAATCTCTAGGTTATTTTAAGGGTTTAATAATTTTTAACTATTAAAAAACATACGTCCTTGTCTTCTGGACAGTTCTCTTCTTCCTTATTGACTTTTTTTCTTGCCTACCGGTATTCATTCATCCCCTCAAAGCCTCACTCTATCTTGGGTTTCATAATGTGCTCCAAGTTCCTAAGTCTAGGTTGGCCCACCAAGGAGAAAGGGAAGTTCTCACCAGAGAAGAGGCTGGTGGTGAGAATGATGTTCCACACCCAACGCTCGCCTCCGATCTGCCGGTAGAAGTGGCTGGATACATAGCCAGAGATACAGCAGGTCAGGGCATACAGTAAGATGGCTGCCGAGTTAATGGCCCCATGACGGTGCACGTTGAACATGCCCAGCAGTGCCATCACAATAATGCCTGCAAGGTGACAGTGTAAAGTTTGTGTTAGGGCCTTCTTCCAGCACAGGGGAATCAGCCCCTTTCCTCCCAGACCCAAGGCTTGCTTCCAGCAAAACAATACCCCCCAACTCTGTGGTACAGAAAATTCACAATATATTCATCTTCACTAGAGCCACTCTCATTTCTCAGGTCTGCCCCTCACCTTGGGAAAAAGAGAAGATCCACAGGCCATTTCTGAACAAATGATATACCCCTTAAGAGATATCCCTGGTTAATTCTTATCACCTCACCAGTGCCAAGAGCCAGGAACTGGGCACCCACACCAAGCACAGCACAGAGCAGGCCACGGTATGGCGGAAAGCGGAAGACATCTGTATGGATGATTTTCCAGCCATTGTCACCCTGGTCAAAGTCGTCACCAGAAACTCCAGATGTGGTCTCCTCATCCAAGTTGTAACGAGCCAAGTCATTACGAAGCACACGCATGAGAATGACAGCTACAAAACCCACCAGTAAAAACACGAGCACCATGGAGTTAATGATGGATAACCAATGGATTTCCAGTGTTCGAGGAAAGAAACCACCATCATCACCACGGCGCCGGTCAGTCCGTTGCTCCACTGAAGTCTCAGACCAGCGCACACTGTAAGTATGAGTAAGGCCAAGGATCTCGTCAGGCCGTAACCCATCCAAGCTGTGGGGCTTGACATCCCGCACGGAGACATTGGCAAATATAATTCGATCCCTGTGGAATTCTAGGTGGAAGTCCAAATGGGTCCAGAGTCCTATCTTGTGGCTATGTGGCAGGAAGCCACTCTCCTCCATGTAGCCCACAAAGCCACGGATTGGTAAGTCATCTACCACAAATTCAAAGTAGTATAGTTCCTCAATGGCTTGGCGCAGTTGTTCTACCTACAAAGAATAAGCCAGGAATCTGTCAGACAAGGCCTCCCCAGGGACCAGCAGAGCAAGATTTCTCAGCCTTGTTACTACTGACATTTTGGGCCAGATAATTCTTTGGTGTGTGTGTATGGGGGGGGGGGGTTGTGCATTGCAGAATGGAGCATCCCTGCTTCTTCCTACAAGATGCCACTAGCACCCACCCTTGTAACAACAATCAAAGATCTCTCAAGACTGCCAAATGTCCCTTGATGACCATCAGATTAGGGCCTATCATCTCATATCTGCTCTAGTGTCTTGTTGTTCCCCCTCAAAAAGCAAAGTGTAATAAGAAGGTCTGGAGTAGACTAAGGAAAACTGCCCTAAGATAAGATTTGTTAAAGAAAAAGCATGACAGATAAAGTTTAAATAGAAAGGAAAAGTAGCCAGTCAAGAAAGTTGAGAGTTGGGTATGAAAGGAAAGAACCATAGAGAACCATGGGGGCCTTATTACCAACAGAGAAGTTTGGAGTCAGGAGCCCTGAGCTCTGATATCAACTCTGTAACTCACTATCCATGGAATCTTGTAAAGGAAACCTGAACACCATAATGTACTCTGAAAACCTATTATTAGCCCCTGAATGACAGCCATGTGGACAGGCTGACCTGTGTAGAACTGAGCTGCAGGTGGCACAGAATTCTCTTCTCCACATTCTCTCGAAAGCGGATCTCGTACAGAGACTCAGCCATTCGATCTCCATCCAGCACTTCACCCAAGCTAAGGCTTTTGTGACGAATCTTCTCAGGGCAGCAGACTGGAAGCTGATAGTAGTGGTAAGTCTCCTGGGGGTTATGGTAGGGTCCCACTTTGTTGACATACAGAATGACAGGGTCGCCGGTCTTGTAGTGTGTCACACCTTCCACCCCTGGCCCACGGTCTGTGCCTAGCAGCAGCAGCAGCAAGACTGGCAACCACTGGCAGCTCCAACTTCGAGGGTGCCCTAGGATTGTCATCCTTAAGGCAGAAAGACCTGTATGGGGTAGTCCTGCAGTTATGGAAACCAGGAAATCAACTCATGACGACCTAGGTCTGTTTTGTCAAATTGACACCCATTGGCTGCAACCTTCCGCCCGGGGGAGGGGGTGGGGGGGGAGGAGGGGAGCGGGGAGTCACATCCAGACACCCCACAACACATCGCGTCTTTTTGCCCTGTCTACCCCAAATTAAGTCTTTCTGTTACCCACCCGCCGGGGTCTTAAACCATGGGCCCCAGCCCGTTCCCATGGCAACATCACGCAGCCTCACGCCTCAGGTCCCTGCCCGCCACAGTCCCGGGGTCCTCACCGCGCGGGAAGGGCTGGCCGAGGCGGCGCCAGCAGCCTTTACGGCCCCGTAGTTGCCCTTGGGTTCCTGCCGGGGTCTCCCCCTGAGCAGCGCGGTAGCGGCGGGTTGGAGAGGACCTGACAACCGACCTCCACTGGGTTGCCTGCCGCTGCGCCTGATAACAGTGGCCACGGCCACCCCATAAGGGGCGCCGCACTCTGCTTGGCCAACTATTCCCCAATGAAGCTTTCTGCAGTCGGAGGCCAGGCCCAGCTCCCGGGCCCCGCAAAGGTCTTCTAGGCCTGCCCCGGCGGGGAGCCCTCCCGGCGCTCAGGAGAACAGCCTGACACGTCAGTCTTACCACTTCCGCCCTCATCTTCTGGGGCCTCAGCCGAGCGGAAAGCTTTCCTGGATGCTAAATGGGGCAGCGCCTCCGGAGCGTTTCACGGTTGCTGTTCGGCGGAGTGGGTGCAGATGAGGCCTGGCTGCGAGGACATCGACGCCTCTTAGGGATAAGAGTAGCCCCCGGGCCGCCTGGGTCGGAAGTGCCTGCTGCATACAACACCCATCAGATTCAGTTAGACGTTTCCCTGGGAGACGGGGGGACCGGCAGTGGCTGAACCCGCACCTAGTGTATGTTCGGAAGCGTCTGCCTGCTGAACCTGTGGGACTCCCTACGGGTTGCTGAGGAGGAGACCGGAGAGGCGAATCACGGCCCCTAAACCGGGTGGAAAGAGCTCTAGTAGCTTAGTGGTTACGAATAGGGCTGCGAACCGCAATGTCAGCAGTTCGAAACTACCAGCTGTTCCGCGGGAGAAAGATGTGGCTTTCTGCTCCCGTAAAGATTTACAGCCTCGGAAACTGTACAGGGTCGCTATGAATCGGAACCGACTCCACGGCACATAACCACCACCACCAAACCGGGTGGACATCGTCGTGCTCGGAACTTCGAGGCTTAGTCTCACCGCACACCACTTCCATCCCTTATGGATGTTCCCAGCCAAAAATACATAAATAAAAATATCTTCCCGAAGCTGGACTGGAGGCCTTCCATTTCGTACGGTCCCCGACGATAGCGAGCCCGACCCTGTCTGGTGCTGAGGCATGCAGAGAGAGTTTCTGCCCTGTTATCCTGTGAGTTGGGCAGCCCTACAGGGTAATTGCAAATTGGAGTCTTGCTGTCTGTCTTTTTCAATTCTTTTTATGTGTTTGGGCTTCTTAATTTTGTACTGCAGATTATGGGGGATCTGCCATCAGGGAAGATCTATCTTATGGAGATCAGTTCCTGAGGCATTGACTACCCTGTAGATACTTGGGAGCATGGTGTAAGGAAGCTGATGTAAGGTCTTTTGCCTGGTAGGTACACTGGCTGAGCTCTTGTCTGTTAACTAAAAGGTCAATAAGAGCCCACCAGCCTACTTTACAGGAGAAAGATGTGGCTGGCTGCTTTCTTAAAGATTCATTTACAACTTTGGAACCCCTCAGGACAAAGTTCTACTCTGTCTGAGTGGAATTGAGTTGATGGTAATGGTTTTGGGTTTTTTTTGTTTTTTTTCTCCAAGGGAAGAAATACAGTGCAAAAACGCAAGTGCTGACCTAAAAAGCTCATTTTATCCACTTCTGTGGTTCTGCCCTTTCTGACTTAGCCCTTTTCTCTGCAGACTGGGCAAGGTTCAAGAAGTAAGGTGTTGAGTTTTTAAATTGCAAAATCAGTTTTGCAATTAGAAAAGTGATTTGGGTGGCTTTGGAATCATCTTTAACTGACAACTACCTGGTCCCTAAAGTCTCTTTCTAGTGCCAGCTCTTCAAGTAGCACAGTAGGTTATGCGTTGGGCTGCTATCCACAAAGTCAGCAGTTTGAATCCACTAGTAGTTCCATCGAAGAAAGAGGCTTTCTTCTGCCTCTGTAAAGATTCACAGCCTCAGAAACCCTAGAAAAGGGTTGCTATGAGTTGGAACTGACTCAACAGCACACAGAAGCACCCTTCAAATCAATGTCACAATCCCCAGGTACTTATTTCTTGATTGTCTTCCAAATGTTTACCTTCTACTGTCACTTGGTTTGAGCAACATCTTCTTTTACCTTTTTTTTTTTTTTATTATTGTAACAGCTACCTTGTTAAATCTTGTCACTTCCCCTTTGGGTCCATTTTCCATACTACTGCTAGAAGGCTTTAATTCATGAATTTATTTTAATCTTAAAGGTTTTCTATTCTCGAACTGTGACATTCATCACATTCAGCTGACATTTATTTAAAACAAGAAACACCTAGCTTCTACCAACTTAGAAATTCAGAAGAAGAGGTGCATGGGCTTCAGTATTGTTTAACAAACTGATTTTGATGTGCTCTGAAAGTTAAGACCATGAGTATATAGAATGAAATCAGAATAACTTGGCATATGCAGCTTCTCAGACAAAGATCTTCACTACTTTTCTAGGTCCATTCTCATCCTGGAACCTTGTTTTGTACTCAATTGGAATCATGAAATTCCCTGAAAGTTATGTTCTCTCAAGCCTGCAAACCTCATATTGTTCCTTCTACCAAAATTGCCCAATCTACCATTCCCTGCTTAACCGGCTGAGAGAATGCCTTCTTTTTAAATAGTGCAAATGTCACCTTCTCTATGAAACCTCTTATATCACCTTGGTTTTGTTTATAGCACTTTATCTCAATGTACTGTTATTTTACCTGTCTCCCTGACTGTGTTAGTTATCCAGCGCTCCTATCACGAAAATACCATAAGTCAACAACTTTAACTTTAACAACTTTTGTTTTCTCCCAGGAGGCTAGATTTCCAAATTCAGGGGACTGGCTCTAGGGGAGGGCTTCCTTTCTCTCTCTGCTGGCTCTGGAGGAAGATGCTTTTCTCTTTGAACTTCTGCTCCTGGGCGGTCTTCATGTCCTTGGTGTCTCTTTGCTTGTGTTCAATTTCTATTATCTCTACAAAGATCTACTCAAGATATACATTAGACCAATCCTGCATAACAAAGCCAACCCATTTCCAATGGGATTATAACCACACAGGCATAGATGTTAGGATTTAAACATGTATTTTGGGGAAGACACAGTTCAATCCATAATGCTTGCTAACTCCTCACAGGGAGACTAATTTATCCATCTTGTATCTTCCGAATGTAGCAATGTTCTGTATGTATGTAGTGGTGTTATTAAGTGCCATCGAGATGGTTCTCACTCCAAAATGTTATGTAGTAGGCAGTTTACTATCTGTTCCTCAAATGAACTGAACGTATGCTATGCATAATTATGGAATGGAGTTGCCCCCAAGTCACCTATCTGTAAGCAGGACCAGTTTGTGGGACTAGAAACTGGGCAGAACTGACTGACCTCCCTACCATGGTATGCCCTCGACAACTGCATCTTGCTAGATTGAGGATATTAATCTGGTTTTCAACTTTAGAACTTCAGAACTAAGATGCCAAGTAGGGTCAGACTATCAGTAAATGGGTATAATCTATTATAAATGTGGTATAATCTAGGAGTTTTGCTCTTGTTTTAGGGGGCACATAATGGTGGAGTCCTGGTGTAGCACTGTAGGTTAATGCACTGGACTGCAAAGTTGGTTTGAACCACAAGGTCAGCTGTTCAAACTCACCAGCCACTCTTTGGAAACCCTGTACAGATTCGCTATGGGTCGGAACCAACTCGATGGCACTCAACAACAACAACAATGGTGGACACATTTGATTTATGAGTTGATGCATTTAAATTACTATGTTGACAAAGCATATTGGCTATATTATGGACTACAGAAGAATGAACAAATCTGTCTTGGAACAAGTATAGCCAGAATGTTCTTTAAAAGCAAGGTGGACGAGACTTTGTCTCATGTATTTAGGACATGTTATCAGAAGAGACCGACTGGATGGGATACATCAACAACAACAATCAGAAAGGACCAGTTAGTTCCTGGGGAAGGACACGTGCTTGGTAAAGTAGAGGATCTGCAGAAAAGAGGAAGACCCTCAACAAGAGGATTGACATTGGCTGCAATGATGGGCTCAAACATGGCAACAGTCGTGAGGAGGGCACAGAACTGGGTGGTGTTTCATTCTGCTGTGTTAGGATAACTATGAGTCGGAACGAATTTGACAGCACCTGACAACAATGGAGTTCTGGTATGGTGCTGTAGGATAAGCACTGTGGACTGCTTGCTCACTTCAAGGTTGCCGATTCAAACCCACTAGCTGCTCCTTGGAAACCTATACAGGATGGCTATGAGTTGGAACCGACTTGACAGCACTTAACAACAACAATAGTGCTTTGGACTATAAGAATAAGAGTTATATTCTTCCCTTGTTCTTTCCTCGATCCACAAAAACAAACTAACAAAACTTAAATTCAAATTATTCCTCTCTGACCACAATCTCCTGCTTTTTTCACTGTTGTTAAAGTGCTACTGAGTTGTTTCTGACTCAGCAACCATGTATATATAGGGTTTCCAAATAGTGACTGGGTGAGTTCGAATCACCAGTCTTTCCATTCACACTGACCTGTGGTCCAGTGCATACCCCCCAGCGCCACACCAGGACTCCTGTTACTGTCATTACCACCAAATTTGTTCTTCCATTTCACTGAGATTTGTTGCCCCACCTCCCCTTGGCCTTCTTCTAGCTTGTTGTCTCGTATCTATGCAGTGTAGATTCCACATTCCAATTACAGTTTTGCCTGTGTTCTTGATGCTTCATCCTTTGTTCTTTCATTGAAGTTTCCAAGCTGAACCCTAATCTTGGGTCAACTTGGGTCAATTCAACTGCCAATATTCAAGCATCTATATGGCCCAGGTACTAAAATAATTTCAATAATAAATGATATGTCTATATGTCATTTCCTCCAACCTCAGTTGGGTCCTCAGTGCTGCCCAGTGATTGTGCTTTTTCCAAATCAGCCCACTTCTACTCTTTTAAAACGTTACAGCTTCTGAATGCATCTTTTGGCAGTCAACCTCCCCTAATAGCCTAGTAGGAGATGCAAGCAAGAAAATTATAGCCGCTGTGTTCGGTCCTGGGCTTGAGCAGTCAGTAAAGGTTTCCTTGAAAGAACTCCCAAGCTAAATCCTGAAGGACAAGTAGGATAATTCCTGAAAAGAACAGAGGGAGGGGAACCAATTCAATCTGGCTGCAATATTGTGTTTGTGCCTGGTGTCTGTGTGTATATTGAACGATAACATTTGAGAGGTAAGCAGGGTCATATCTTAAAGCAATATGAAAAATTTTGATCCTGGAGAAGAATGGTGAAACAAATTGTTTTAAATGGGAATAAAACCAAGTGTATCCTTTGGACTTCAGGCTGAATAGATTGGAGGGGTACTGAAGGCTTGCTAAAGTAATCAGTTAAATGACAGAGGCTTGTTGTACTAAGGGAGTGCCAGTGGGCTTGCATTATTAAAGAGATAACTAGGAGATAAGAGAAGATTTGGTGTCAAATTGGATGTGAAGACTGAGGCAAAGGAAAGGATCTGAGATGGCATTCTAATGTCTAAATTCCAAGGACAACTATTATGGAATTTGGAGCCCTGGTGTAGGATAAGCACTGAACTTCTCACTGCAAGGTCGGTGGTTCAAACCCACCAGCCACTCCTTGGACACTCTATACAGGGTTGCTATGAGCTAGAACTGACTCAACAGTACTTAACAACAACCACCGTATAGAATTTACGGAGCCCTGGTGACACTGGGTTAGGTGTTGGACTGCTAACTTCCTGGTACAGGTCAGGCACGTCACTTACCCCACCATGATAGAGGGATGGCTTCATTGTTTAATTTTGTTGTGCATTTTTAAAACAGGCATGCAGAAAGTGCATAAAACAACAGTGTACAGAGCAATAGTAATTCTAAACACACTCCACTGTAACCATAACTACAGTCAAGTATAATATACTTGTTTGCTGTCTGCTCCTCTGAGATGGGTCTCTGGCAGAGTAGTGTTGAGGAAAGGGAACTTCTGATAAAAGATGATAATTGAATTGGTGGGGGGGATGCCCACCAGCAACACTGTGGGTGAAAGATGTGAATGTCTGCTCCCATAAAGATTTACTGCCTCAGAAACCCTATATAGGTTCACTGTGAGTTGGAACCAACTCGATAGCAGTAGTTTGGGTTTGGCTTAGTGTAGAATTTGCAGAAAGGATAGACTGGGAAACAAAGCCAGGACAGGGTGAGTTGAAGGTGCCTGGGAGAGAACTTTACAGGTATCTGGAAAAGATGGAGATTGAGAACAGTCAGTATAAATGTAGTAATTGAGGTTTTGAGTTGGATGAGATTCTTAAGGGAGGATTTGAAGTTCTGAGAAAATAAGGCCTGTAATAGGACCCTTGATTAAGGAATGGGTGGTAGAAGATTAGCCTCCAATGAAAACAAATGGCCAGAAGGATGCGAAGAAATACAGAGAATTCAGGGTCATGGTTTGATTCCTTAGAACATGGTTCCATCCTACCTTGAGATTCTCTGTAACAGTCTCATACCGGACTATAAACTGAAGGGGTATAGAGTATTGGCATGATTACTTATTTTATCCCAGTACTCCACACACTGCCTGGCACATAGTAGGTGTTTGATAAACATGAATGAATGCAGGGGCTTGATCTATGGGGGAAGTCTCACCAGATAGTGGAAGATGCCTCCAGGAATGAATATGTTCTAAACTGCACTTCATTCTCAAACTTAGTTACCAATGGTGAATGGAAGATGGATTGTGATGTGTGCAGATTGTGGTACCTCGGGGAATTCCGTAACTAAGAGAAGGAAGGAACAACAGCCTGTGGAGACAAAAAGAACTTTTCCCCTCCACGTTCCTAGTGGAGAGCTGAGCCTAGCATTCCAGACTTGGGTGATTTCATAGGCAAGCATTCGAAGACTTGCTTCACTTAGGGTACCCTATAGTCTCAGTGACTCGAGGTGACAGGAGACTTCAGGTGGCAAAGCTCCCTCTCTCAGCAAGTCCAACATCATGGGGAAGGGAGAGACTTTGGAGGGAGCACCACCCACTCCAGCCTACCGTTCTGTCATGGAGGAGTATGGTTACGAGGTGGGCAAGGTCATTGGCAATGGCTCCTATGGGACGGTGTATGAGGCTTACTACACAAAGCAGAAAGTCATGGTAGCTGTCAAAATTATCTCAAAAAAGAAGGCCTCTGAAGACTATCTTAACAAGTTCCTGCCTCGTGAGATACAGGTGAGAAAGGAAGGGCGCTGAAGAGGAAACGAGCTTGGTACCAAACTGCTGCTCTCAGGAGTAGTTGGGAGAGGGTGGGGTCATAAATCCCCAAAACAGAACTGTTTCCGCAAATAGGCAAATTCCTTAAATTCAACCTTTTTCCCACCCATCCAATCACTTCCAGTCCCTCAGACAGTAAAACTGCAACACAAGGTTTCCCTCCAGGCCACCAGGTACTTCTGTGCCAGCCCTCTGGGGCTCTCAAAAGTTCATTCAAAGTTGTAGGTCATAGTGGGAAAGTAAGAGAGGCTGGGGGTGTGGCCACCAGAGTTCTCCCTTCCCTCTTCCTGGGCCAGGTCATGAAGATCCTGCGGCACAAGAACCTCATCAACTTCTACCAGGCCATCGAGACCACATCCCGAGTGTACATCATTCTGGAACTAGCTCAGGGTGGTGACGTCCTTGAATGGATCCAGCACTATGGAGCCTGCTCTGAGCCTCTTGCTGGCAAATGGTTCTCCCAAATGACACTAGGCATTGCCTACCTGCACAGCAAGGGCATTGTGCATCGGTGAGGGTGCTGCCACCTGCACCTGGGGCCTTTGGGCTTTCAAGGGGGGGGTTTATGCACATCTCCCATTTTCTGGCCCCTTTCCCCACCTCCCTTGACCTGTCTCCTGAGTACCTAGGTCCGTTCATCCACTCTATTTTAGCCATCTCGTCCAAGACATTAAATACCCAGGGGTGCAGAGCCCAGTATGAAATACAAAAGGCAGCACCCAGTGGTCCTTAGGGACGCTTCTTTTCTCACACCCTTTCTCTTTTGGGGTTTGCTCTTCTTCCTCTCTCTGTACCACTTTGTCTTTCCTCATCTCTAACCTCTGGCCCTTCAGCTCCGAGTCTAATACTTAGCCCTCTCCCCAGCCTGACGCCCAGCCTTTCTGCTGCTGGTAGGGACTTAAAGTTGGAGAACCTGTTGTTGGACAAGCGGGAGAATGTGAAGATATCGGACTTTGGCTTCGCCAAGATGGTGATTCCTAACCAGCCTGTGCGTAATAGCCCTTCTTATCGCCAGATGAGCTGCTTTACCCACCTCAGCCAGACCTATTGTGGAAGCTTTGCCTATGCCTGCCCGGAGATCTTGCTAGGCTTGCCCTACAGCCCTTTCTTGTCTGACACCTGGAGCATGGGCGTCATCCTGTACACCCTAGTGGTTGCCCGTCTGCCCTTTGATGACACCAATCTCAAGAAGCTGCTGAGAGAGACTCAGAAGGAGGTCACTTTTCCACCTAACTGCACCATCTCCCAGGAATGCAAGGTGCTGGCTTCCCCAGGAGGGTTGAGGCCTCATGGATAACCCACAGGGAGGGGTGAATACCCACCTACCCTAGGCCTCACAACCTGGGAGCAGGTGCTTTTGCACCAGATCCATCTCCTCTAGTCCCTGCCTATATAGTGGGTAGGGCTTATAGGACCAATCACTGGACTCTGGATTTTAAATGCGAACGATAGCCGTGCCATCCTCATCCCTTTAGGTCTGAAGTGGGGGTTAATGTAAGGGACTCCCCATAGAACTCCTCCCTTCCCTTCCAGAGAGTCAAATGCACAGAAGTCTGGCTCTCCAGTATAAAACCAGGGTCACGTCACCTTTCGTCAGAGTGGTGTGATGGGCTATCCTGTTTCTTTCTTAGGTCCAGCTGTTCATTGCCTGTGTGGCACAATGGGGGGCAAGCTCAGCCAAGACCTCTCTCTCCCCTGCCCTAGACCCTGGTCCTCCAGATGCTACGCCAAGCTACTAAGCGTGCCACCATCCTCGACATCATCAAGGATCCCTGGGTACTCAAGTTTCAGCCTGAACAGCCCACCCATGAGATCAGGTTGCTTGAGACCATGTGCCAGCCCCCAAGCACCAGTAATCGCCAACCTTTGGAAATCAAGAACTGAGCATGGGTGAGGGGCGGGGGATGAGAGACAATTCAAGCAGGAGGGCCTAGAGCTAAAATCTTATTTATAAGAGAAATAAATCTAATTCTGATTTAGTTTCATCAGCTGAGGTCAACAGCATTCATTCCTCAGGGGAACCCTAGCAGGGAACTCTGCTGAGGGCAAGAGGTGAATTCCTGCCCAGAATCTGTAAACTTGATTCCTTTATGTAGACATTGTAATTCACAATGTGGCCCATGTGAGGGAAGGCAATGGTGTACTCAGATTAACAGTCCCTGTTGGGAAGCTTCATTATTTTAAGTACATTTTCATTTTACATTTCTGTGCTCTCTAAAGGTACAAGCAGTAAGACAAAGGCCCTAACTGCTTTGCTTTGGCTATGACTCTGCCCCTGTCTATAATCCAAAGGAATGTTTTCCCCACCCTTTTGAGACAAATGGATGATATCAGGGTGTGCCAAATACTTGATTGCTTTTCTCTCCAAATACCGCCTTCATCATTATCAAGACAATTCCAGTGAGTTAGGGCTACTCACACAATTCTTCTCAAACACAGAAATGACAGAGTTCAAACCAAGGGATATAGTAGTAATGAAAGCTATTACAAATGGATTCTAGATAAAGAAAAGCCATTCACCACTTCCATCCACTCCCTTCCTAATAAACTTGTTTTGCAAAAGGAAAAAGGATGATAAATCATGGACTGTGTTGACAAAAGTCTGACTGGAAGAAAGATGAAAAAAAACTCACAGAAGAAGCCATATGATTTTAAGATAAATAATAGGTGAAAGTTATTCTTAACCTCAAGCACTAGGCAGCTCTAGGACAAACCAATTTGAAAGATGAAACAGTGTTGCCTGAACAAAGTGGATTAAGACATTGGCAAAGCCCATTTATTTGTTTTATGTTCCAATACCCCTCCTCCCCCACTTCCTGATTTATTACAAGGACTATGAAAACGTTACAAGTGTAGAAAAGGTAGCATAGACACCAGGGTTCCATCTGCCCACTTTTATTTGCAACAAGGGCATGCATGGCAACTGCTCTCAAAGAAAATGCAGCCCAGGGCTTCTCCCACATCAAAACCTCTCTTCAGAGTTGAGCCAGGGATGGGAGGGCAGCAGACCCCGTTCTCAGACAGGGCCACACTACCACCCTCAGCAGGATCTCCTAAATAGGCTAGGTACCTTTAGCTCACACCACTTGGCACTTCAAGAAAAGAGACCAGTGAAAGCGGTGTTCAAAGTAAGTCCAGACTCATCAGGAGACCCACTCTGTCAGCTGCTTTAATGCTGCTTCTTCATCTGCATTGGGAGCTTTGGGGAGAAAGACACCCAGGGAATAAAAGGAGAAATGTTAAGACCTCAGCAACTTCCAACTAGCCCCACTATAATACACAGCCTGCTGAAGTACCTTTCCCCAGGAAAATCTAAAGATGAGCTGCTTCTTGCTGCTGCTAATTCCCATTGTGCTTTTATGAAAATTAGAAGCACTTTCTCTTAGCATGCGCCTAGCCTAAATCAGCCTGCAGCTGAGGTGAAGCTAAGTGCACCATTCCACAGTGAGTGCTCATTCCCTTGTGTAGACACCCTTGTGCAGACTGGTATTTGTACAATTGTAGCAGCAGCCTCTGCCTAGCTCCTCTGAGTCAGGTCAAATGAGGAATAATTTTTCCCATATATCAATGCCCGTCTCAGGTCCTCCAAGTCACAGAACAGTACTGAGTACCTGGCCCGGCAGGCAGATGTGAAGAGGGTACACTGGGCAATTCAACTGGGGATTCTTCTTTGTCGCCCACATTTAACAACTCCCGGGACAATTCTTCCTGCTCCAGCTCCTCTAGTTCCTCCAACAGTTCATCCTAGGTATAGGAAGCAAGATTGTTCAAGATGAAGAAAGAAAACTACTTTCCAAAACACATCACTTCTGTAGTCTCCTATCAAAGTTTGCCCAAAGGGCCTCTCTCTATTGGGCATTTCTTCTGGCTGGTCCCAGACTTACTTTCATATTCCTTGACCCCCTAATCCCTAATTACCTCATCCACATCATCTCCAAACCCCACAGGCCGAGAAATGGCATCTGAGATCTGCTGGGCCAACTCCTGTTGTTCTGTGATGTCAGCCATCAATTCATCCACCTTGTCAATGTCCCTGAGAACAAGATATACAGCCAAGAAATCAGGCAACAAGCTCTGACTTTCCCATTTCACATGAATGAGGCCCATCTTGACTGTGCCTTCAGTCTCTGGTAAACCCATGACGACCACGTAGAAGACATCCTTGGGAAACTGTAGAGGTATGTCTGGTCTGAGAAATGGTTAAGAACCCATTTGTTGTACTCTTTTCCCTACAGATTCTTTAAGAATCAGAGAAATAATCCTTCCTCCCTGGAATGCCTTAGCCAGCAAGGAAGCAAGAAGGCATAGAGGTCTAGCCATTGTAAGCATCTATACATGTAAATTCACATTCTGAGAGGTTTTAAGATTTAAGGTGTGATGCCAAGCCATTCTCCCCAGAGCCTGTGGCCCCTTCTCTCCTCCCCCGTACCCACATGTCCTGGTAGGCCTTCTTCATGCCTTGGGCAGCAAGCTCCATGGTACGAAGCACTTCTGTGTTGGTGGTGGCATTTTCAATGGCTTCACGTTGAAACTCCAAAGTGGATAATGTCCCATCCGTTTGTGCCAGCTGCTGTTCCAATCTTTTCTTCCTCCGTAAAGCCTGCAGGGCAGCTGACCCATTCCACACTCTGAACATCAGAGCCAGAGGCACCTGGCTTCCCCTGTGTCCTCCCTATCTGCTCCCTCCCCCCATTACCTCTCTTATTCTTGGTTCCATGCTTCTTGGCCATCTGTAGCTCCTGTTGAATCTTCTGCTCTAAAAACTCCTGTTTCTTGATCAGTATCTCTTCTGTCTCCTTTAGTTTCTGTATTGCCTCTTCAGGGGTTGGCCCCTTCTCCTTTTTCCCTGAAGAATTCAATGGAGTCGGCCCATATTGTGTGAAGGAAAAACAGTAGCCACCAATCATCGAGTGCACAGCATACACTAGGCACTGTTCTATGCACTTTAATGTTATTGTTAATACCTAAACGACTTCCTACAATAGAATACAATGCTCTATCTTCACTTTACAAATGTGAAAACAGGCTCAAAGATGGTAAATTTTTTTGGTCCAGAGTCATTACTTCTTGTTGTTGTTGCTAACTGACCCTATTGTATAGCGTTTCCAAGGAGTGGCTGGTGAATTTCAACTCCTGACTTTGCAATCCAAACTGACCTGGCGGTCCAGTGCACTATCCCACAGCACCACACTAGGATTTACTAGTAAGAGATTAAGTAGGATTGAAATGGGGCAGTCTGACTTCCAAAGCTAGGATCCATTTTGCTATTCCAAGTTGCCTTTCAAGTTATTTCCAGATGTTTAGATATACATATATATATATATGGAGTCCTGGTGTGGCACTGTGGGATAATGCAGTAGACAGCAAGGTCAGCGGTTCAAATTCACCAGCTGCTTCTTGGAAACCCTACCCAAGATTGCTATGAGTTGGAACTGACTCAAAGGCACTTGACAATAAATATATATATAATTGTTATTTGAGAATATACAAAACACACACCAATTTAACTATTTCTACATGTACAATTCAGTGACACTGATTACATTCAAGTTGTGCAGCCATTTCTGAGTTGTCCCTCCCCCATTAATATAAACTCGCTGCCCCCTAAGTTAGCCATCAATTTTTCAAAGTTGCTCAAGGTTCTGACTACACAGGATCACACTGAGTTTTTTGTTTTCCCCAAGCGAAACATCCCTCACTTGTTTAAAATCATCTTACACTCTCCATTGCCTAAAAGATAAAATCCCAAGACATACAAGGTTGTTCATGGTCTGGCCCTTGTATACCTCTCCATCCACACACTTCCTTCCACTTTCCCCTTCTTCTTGATCATGCACACTCAGCCACAAGGCAGTCAGAACTCTTTTTCCCTGAACATATTCTTTCCTCCCTATGTTTGTGCACACTATCCCCACTTCCTGATTTATCTCAAACTTCTAACTTTTGGGGAAGCCTTTGGATCACACTCCTCCAAGCCCTACTTCTATGTTCCCCTGGTGTCCTACCAACATCTCACCCTTGAGATGCTAACAGTACCAATTGCCATGGAGTAGATTCAAACTCATGGGACCATATGTGTGTCAGAGTAGAACGGTGCTCCATAGGATTTCCAATGGCTGTTTTATCAGAAATACATTACCAGGTCTTTCTTCAGAGGCACCCCCAAGTAGCCTTGAACCACTAACCTTTCCCAGGTTTACACCTCTCTGTTGTTATGTGCCGTGGAGTCGGTTCCGACTCATAGTGACCCTGTACAGGGTTTCTGAGGCTGTAAATCTTTACGGGAACAGAAAGCCTCATCTTTCTCCTGCCGATTGGTAACCACTACACTACCAGAGCTCCTTACTATACTAAGTTGTAAATACCTGTTCAAACATGTCTTCCTTCACCCAACACGAGCTTCAGAAAGCTGTGCCTGCCTGTCAACATCAGCGTTTTGGAAAGGATTGGATAAGACAGGTGGAAACTTGCCCCCAAGTCATACATCAGGAGCCAGTATAGTCACCAGTCCCCCTAATCGGGGTGGGGGTGGGGGTGTGGAAGACAGGCGAGAGCAAGGGTCCCCCTGGCAGCAGAGATGGGCCTAGCACTGCCATCCGCTGGAGTTTCCAGAGTCTGCTGTCTCTTCCCCTGCCCAGAATCGCGGTCTAGGTTCCAAAGCACACGCTCCGCGGCAGTTCCCCTCTCCCGACCCCACCTCTGGCCGGCACCTTCCGGCACACCAGTCTCATCTGGGCTCACCCCTCCCGAAGAGTCGGCCAAGACCACTCATCGCGACTCTTGCCTCTCCAGCCTCTACCCCACGGCGGCGGCTTCCACACTTCCGCCTAGCTCTTGGTAAGAGCAGCCTCATCACTCAGCGCCCAACGGTGGCCAATCGCTCCTAAGAGTACAGCGGCGACATCATCAACAGAAGCAAACCAGGCCACTTCTACCTTTTTACCGGAGCCATCAGCTCGACAGACACGCTCTTCTTCTTAAAGTGGCCGTTTCATTTTCAACTCTTAAGTAGGCTGCTCTCCCACCCAACAAAAAAGTATTTGTTCGCTGGAAGGAATTATGCAGGGTAATGGAGCCAGTGGAAGAGTTCTAAAGTTTTTTAACCTTGGCAGAGCTCAGGAAAGGGGGTAGGGATAGAGTACAGAACCTGATGCAGTGAACCTCAGGTCACACACTTGTTTGTTTGATTCCAATTCATAGTGTGCAGAATAGAACTGCCCCCCTCCATAGGGCTTTAAGGCTATGATCGTTCAGAAACAGAATGTCTGGACTGTCTACCCAGGCACCTCTGGGTGGGTTCAAACTGCCAACCTTTGGGCTAGTAGTTCCAATACTTAACCATTTGCAGCACCCAGGGACTCTACTCACACACTAGAAAAAATTAACTGAAACAACACACATTCTTTCACACACAAATACACTTTAATAATTTACACAGACACCTAAAAATGCCTTCCTGTTTCATGTTCCAAATGAGACTCATCCACAAGGTTGGACCTCCGGCTCAACTTGGGCCTTTGCAAATGTTTCTAACCCTTGAGTTAGAGTTTGAAGATTCATTCCATTGTGGATGTGGACACAGGTAACACCTAAAAGGAAAAGAAGTCACATTTCACCAGGCCTTCAGGGCTTTCCATTTTTAAGGGCTTTTTGTGGGGATCAACTGTCATGCTGACTATCCATCCTATACATATTATAGGCTTCAAAAAGTTCCTGGAAAAACTCCATTATCTTTTATTCCATTTTCCACAAACTTTTTGAAGCCCCCTCATATTTACCTAACCCGTCCAAGGTAACCTTTCTCCTCACTTCCCAAATGGCTATCCTCATCACTCAGTACCCAATTTGCCCACGTCCACAATATTCCGCTTCTCATCATCAAAGAAGATCATCTGAGAGAAAGGAACTCCAGTCTTCTGCTGCAATCTGTGCAAGATAGGGCAGAGGTAACCAAGTCAGGATCTTGGTTCCCCAAGACTCTCTGGCACTCTTTCTCCCTGTTCCAGCCCTTATCTCCGCATACCTCTGAAAGTGGGTGACCTTACTGCCTGGATAGATTTCCAGATGAACGAAGTATCTGAGTAGGCCAAAGAGCTCCAACAGCTGGTTGGCCCCTTTAATCTCACCTGTTCTGCAAAAAGATGTAATGCATATAATCACGAGAGTGAAGGACCAGGGCTGCAAATGAAGTTAACTTAAATACAACTGGGGAAAATCAACTTGTTTTTCCAGGGTGGGTAGGCAAACTCCACCCTTATCCAACTCCATATCCCTCTAGTCTGACAGAGTAGGCACTCGATGTTTGATAAATAAAAGGCACAGAAGATGTTTGATAAATAAAAGGCACAAATATGCTTGCAAATTTGCAAATTTTTTTTTTTTTTGCAGACAAGGGTTACACAAGTCTCCCCAAGCATGCATCCCTCAACACTACACTGAATTTTTGTCGGTGGCTCTTCTTACCGGGAAGCTGCCGCGACGGGCACCCCCAGGCCCTGCAGTCGTTCCAGGATCTCGGGAACATCTGGGTACAGTCTGATAGTCCGACCCCGGCTATCTAGCACAGTTCCATCACTGCGGAGGACGAGAGTGTGCTCAGCTCGGGTCGGGCTCCTCTGGCCTTCGTCCTTCGTCCTCCCTAACCCTGCCTCACCTACTCCTGTGGAACGGGGGATCTACGTGCGTGTCGACCCAGAAAGGCCAGAGCGTGTAATCTGCGAGTGAAAGGAGGAGTTAGATTGAGTTTTGAGGGACTCAGGGTCTCAGGGTCGGGACAACTGAGATTGGAAGGAAGATCACCCTAAGAAACTCTTCCCCACTCCGGCTCTCACCCAGATCAAAGACTGCAAGCTTGGGGAACCGCGCCATGACCCTCGGTCGCAAGCTGCGCGCACTGATGAGGAGCTTTCTCCAGAGCCATACAGTGCTCCGCAACACGCCAGCCAGTAGGAGGCCGCCCGCCTGGGCATAGAGAAACGGCGGTTAGAGCGCCGCAACAAAGGTATGGAGCGGTCGGCCTGGAAATCGCGTAAGAGCGCCTCCTGACGCTGGAGGAGGAAACAACAGCTGCAAAGTTATACACCGTCCGTCCGCATAGAGTACAGTACTGAGAGTTTTCCTCCTCTCCAAACGTTTGGGCAAAGAGATGGTATTCCCTCCCTTCTCCATACCATCCGATCTCACTAGCTTCTACTACAGAAGTCAGAAAAGGGAAACAAAATAATTCTTCCAGCATTCTTATTTTGTCTTACCAACTGAGAACTGGTGTTGCGTTGCAGGATAAGGTCGGTTTGAACAGCAAAGCTGGGTCGTTGAAACTCACCGGTCACTCCTTCGAAACCCTATACAAGGTTGCTATGTATGAGTTGGAACTGGCTCGACTTTAACAACAATTGAAAACTAGGTGACCCACCAGTGCTAGTCCCTCCTCACTCAACCTTTTTCCATATGATTTCATCCTGTTTTCCACAGTGGTTGCATCATTTTACAATCCCACCAGGAGTGAAAGAGGTTCCAGTCTCTCCACATCCTCTCCAGTATTTGTTGTTTCTGTTTTTTTTTTTTTTTTTTAACTTTGCCTGTAGGGTGAGAACAGGACTGCTAATCTTAAGGTCGGTGGTTGAACCCCACCAGTGGCTCCTCAGAAACCTTATACAGGGTTGCTAAGAGTCGGACCCACTCAATGGCACTTAAAAATAGCAACAAGATGGAACTTACGGTCAGTAGTTCAAATTCACGAGCTGCTCCTCGGGAGAAAGATGAGACTTTCTGCTACCCTAAAAATTTACCTTAAAATTTCACTATTAAGTTGAAACAGACTTGATGGTACATAACTTCCAGCAAAATGGCGGACTGGGCAGACACACTCTATGGATCCTCTACAACAAAGATTTGTTGTTGTTAAGTGCTGTTGAATCGGTTCCAACTCACAGCAACCCTGGACAGGGTTTTCAAGGAGCAGCTGGTGGGTTTGAACCACTGACCTTGGGGTTTGCAGTCCAGAGCTGATCCTACATTGCCACATCAGGACTCTACAACAATGATATGAGACCAAATAAAATGGACACTGATGAAAATTCTAGCACCACGAACTTCAGGAAAAAAATTAGAGAAGTGGACGGAGTGCTTACTGGGAGAGGTGGAGCAGGGACTGTGAGAGAGGGAGACTGGTAAATGGCTGGCCTGATGCAAGGGAGGCCTGGCAAAGCAGATTCCCAAAGGTGTTGGGAAAGCTGCTATTTCTTCATTTTCCCCACGCTCCCCTGGTGACCAGTGATGTGGCCACTATGATCTACTCAGCACAGACACTATCTCCAGGAGTTCAGAGCCACGCGGTTTGGAGCCATGCCAGTGTGAGTCTAAGACTGGCTACGCCTGTTTGGCACCTGAATTCAGGTGGGCTAGGATCCAGACCTACAAAATCTGCAGAGCCACCAGACCAGCATTTAATCAGTCACCCTGCCCCCAGCTGCCCTGTGGTCCTAACAAACATTGAAACCAGATCCATCCGCCTACACAAACTACTTCCAGACTGAGTGCCTTGAACATAGATAATACTGAGGCCAATAGGAACTCAATCTAGGGCCAGGAACTCTGCTGTCACATCCCTTCTACAAACACCTCATGAGCTCCTTGAATTGCAGGAGCCCACCAGAGATTTCTCCCCTTCAGGTGCAACAACTGCAGTTTTTGTTTTTACAAATAAAACAACCCCGCAATACCCCAGAAACAGCAGACAATTTTAGCTCTCACACAAAGAAACAAGAAAGAATGGCTCCAACAAATGACCGAGATGCAGAGCCAGAAAACATTTTTGAAGATGAAAAGGTGGTAAAACTAATTGAAAAAGAATTCAAAAGAATGTTAATTAGGCACCTTCAAAGGATCAACAGATTGAGGAAAGCAAGGAGAGCACAATAAAAACTGTAGAAGATTTCAGGAAAGCACTACAAGAACAAATAGACAAAATACATGCAAATTTTGAAACAATATAAAAACCTGCAATTAAAAATCCATAAGATTAATACTAAAATCCCAGAAACGGATAATACATTGAAAGGGAAAGGAGTAGATGTGAAGCAATGGAAGCCCAGATTAATGATCTTGAAGATAAATCTCTCAATACTAATATGATAGAAGAACTATCAGGAAAAAGAATGAAAAACTCTGAAGAAAGCTTAAGAGACATGTGGGGCACCATAAAGAGGCACAAACTTACAGGTGATTGGAATTCCAGAACAGTAAGAGACAAGCACAGAGAAAACTGTTGAGTTGCTGGAAGAAAATTTCCTTAACATTGTAAAAGGCAAGAAGATAAGCATACAAGAATTTGAACAAACTCCAAACAGGATAGATCCCAAAAGAAAATAATAACCAAGGCATATCAGAATCAAACTTTCTGAAATCAGAATCAAACTTTCTGAAATCAAAGACAAGAATCCCGAGAGCAGCTTGGGCTAAATGAAAAGTTACCTACAAAGGAGAACCAATAAGACAAAGCTCTGATTTCTCAGGAGAAAGCATGAAGGCAAGAAGGCAATGGTATGACATATATAAAACTCTGAAAGACAAAAACTGCCAACCAAGAATCATTTATCCAGAAAAACTGTCCCTCAAATATAACAGTGAAAATAGGACATTTCCTGATAACCAGAAATTAAAGGAATTTGTAACGAACAGACCAACTTTACAAAAAATGCTAAAGGGTAGTCTCTGGACTGAACTAACAACATCAGGCAACAACATGCGATTACATACATGACCACACCACCCAGAACTCAATCTAGATATGTCAAGTGCCACTGAGTCGGTTCTGACTCAGCGACCCTGTATAGGGTTTCTGAGGAGTGACTGGTGAACTTGATCCAGATATAGAAGTATTTAAAGTAAAACAAACCTATAAGACTGAAAATAGGGAAACAGAGGTATCAATATATAATTAACTACAAAGCAAAAAGAGTGAATAGTATAGATACAGAACTTCCAAATGGCAAGGTAGTCAGGTAGATTTCAAAATAAAAGAATGTTTTAAGTAGGGGAAAAAATAATAAATTACAGGGTAACCTCAAAGAAAAATAACACACCTACATATCAAAATAAAAAAAGAGGAAAATCAGATTTAGTAAACATTAATAAAACAGAAATGAAAAGAAACCACAAACAAAATGAACTCAGCATAGAAAATTATATGAACACAGAATCCAGCAGCACCACAAAAAAACACACAAATGACAACAATCAATTCATACCTATTGATAATTACACTGAACGTAAATGAATTAAATGTACCAGTCAAGAGACATAGAGAGCAGAATGGATAAGAAAACAGGATCCTTCAATATGCTGCCTACCAGACATATAAAAAAGATGGAGACAGAATGGTTAAACAAACTTTAGTACATTCACACAATGGAATACTACAAAACGTTAAAGAATAAAGATGAATCTGTGAAACACCTCACAACATGGGTGAACCTGGATTACATTTTGCTGAGTGAAATTAGTCAATCACAAAAGGACACGCATTGTATGAGACCAATGTAAAAAGTTATCAAAGGTTTTCTTGGTAAAAGAAACAATCTATGATGGTTAGGGAAGGAGGGAAAATTATTCATAGGCTAGAGGGTAGACACATGTTAACATAGGTAAGCGGGCAGACAATAAAGAAGGAAGTAGCAGAGGCCAGATGAAGGTAGTGGGAGACACAGGGAAGAATGCAATAGTTAAAGTGATTAAAGGTGAATGTTGTTGACTGTTGGTACATAACAGGGGATTGTAACCATGTAATGAAGCAAAGTATGTGATTTGTTGAATGTAGAACTGATGATCTGCTCTGTGAACCTTCACTCAATTCACAAAAGTAAAGAAAAAAACAAACAAACCTGCAATAGACAAATATGCTGCACAAGACCTCTTTAAAATGTTCAGGAGCAAAGATGTCAGTTTGAGAACTAAGGTGCATCTGACCTAAGCCATGTTATTTTCAATAGCTTCATATGCATGTGAAAGTTGGACAATGAATAAGCAAGACTGTAGAATTGATGCATTTGAGTTATGGCTGGAGAAGAATACTAAAAGTACCATGGACTGCTAGAAGAACAAAAAAAGTCTGTTGAAGTAATGCCAGAATGCTCCTTAGAAGCCAGGACAAGACCTTTGGTATCATACTTTAGACATATTATCAGGAAGAACCAGTCCTATTAGGTAGAGGGTCAGTAAAAAAGAAGTAGACCCCCAATGAGATGGATTGGCACAGTGGCAGTAGCAATGAGCTGCTAAATGATTATGAGGATGGAGCAGGACTGGGCAGTGTTTTGCTGTGCGTTAAGGTCACTGAGTCAGAATCAACGTGAAGGAATCTAACAGCTATTCTAGTGCTGGCCCAGGATCAGCTCTGCAAATTCTACAGGGCTGAAGAAGCAAGTTCCCTGACTCCAGGCACTGTGGTGGTACACCCAGGTCCCAACTCAGGTGGGGGCTGGCCACACTTTGTCACTAGGGGAGTGTGTGGAACAAGAATTACTCCTTTCTTGTTGCCTGGCACCCGTGTGCATACATGCCATCAACCTTTTGGATCCAATGCAGCTGGCTAATTAATGTTCAAGATGGCTGTGTCCAGTAAGTCCAGAAGACAATTCATCCATCTCCTTTCTCACCACTCCAGTCCAACTTCTCCTAGTCAGTATTCAATCCATTTCTCTATCCTTTCTCCTGAAATTCAGGGTTCTAAGATGATCATTTGTATCTGTTTCATTTGGTCTCTAGTATCTTTGTTGTAGAGGGTTTGTGTAACTCTGCCTAGTCCAACATCCTGCTGTAAATTTCCCCTCAGAAATATTCAGTAGTAAAGAATGGAATGTATGCAAAGCCCCTGAGGCCTTTCTCCAACCTGGATCGGATGTCCAGTAGAGCCACAGTGGTTTTTCTTATTCATGTAGTATGTTAATAATTGTTTTAGGTGGTAGGGACTGACTGGTAGTATTTACCAATCTCTATGAATACTCTCACCATTGCTAATTTCAAGCTACCAACATGAAGTCATTTGACCCGGAGTTGGGAAGTGATGCTAATAATTGGCTCTTGTGACCAGTCAAGTGCTAGCCCCAGCACATGACTGAGAGTAGCCTTTCCTGGAGTCTGAAGTCATACTAAAAGCACTGTACTTTCCACGACCCAAATCCTTTAGCCTGGGATATATGGTTGAACATCGGATTCATTTTTATGTCAGTCACATTAATGTAATACAAGAAAAGAGTCTAGAATGCCAGGAAATGTTTTATTGACAACTAGGGACATAGCCATAAGAAAGGGGAGCATATAGGACCATGAACTAAAATCCAATAGCCAACAAGGGCCCTTTGGGCCAGGAACACTGCATCCTGGGGTCCTCAAAGTCTCCCACTAGTAAACACACAAAACTGGACATCCAGGGGAAGGGACAGTGGCTCTGGGGTCCCAGAGAATGCGAGGATATTTGATGCCTCAATACGAATGACAGGGTAAGGAGGTAAAGTGCAGGAAGGATCCATCACTGCCTAAGGCCACCTCCTCCTCCTCTCAGAGCCAATACTAGATGGAGGACTGAACCGCCTAGGATCTTGTAATCAGCAGCTGTCTTCTCATCATTCCTACAGGAGAAAAAAAAAAAAAAAAAAGCATTAGAAATACCATCTAGAACAGGGGTTTTACACCTGGGATTCTTGGATCTCTTTGGCCAGGAGGTGGAGTGTTTATGAACTTAGATGGAAGAAAAACTACTTAATTCAAATGTTTAGTTCTTTTAATTTGAACATATGTAAACGAGATTTTTTTCATGCCCTATTGCAACAGTTACAAGTATCCTGACAATACTCTTAAATTACAGTAGTTATCAGGCCCACCATTAAACATTTTCTACTGCATGAACAAAGCTCATACACTGCTAGATCACAAAGTGCTTTCATTGTTGCTTGAGAATTGTATTTCAATAAAGTAATTAGTTTCCTTCATAATTCTGTAAATATTTTATTTTATGACTGTAAAAACCTCAGGCTGAGAATGGATTCATAAATTTCATCAAGTTACCACAGGATCCAATGCACCAAAAAACCAGACAGGACTGAGTCGCATTCAGCACTTATTTCCTTCTCACATGTACCTAAAATTGCCATGTCCTCATTCCCACCTTACACTCACATCTGTTTGCCACTGTAGATGAGTCGCTGTTGCTGTGGGGGAATTCCCTCTTTCTCCTCCACACGCTCCTTGATTCGCTCCACCTTCAGGGGAACAAGCAATAAGAGGTTGGTAAGGCAGGGGTAGGAGGACTGTGGAAATAGTAAGGACAAGGGCAATTAGACAGCATGAGAAAAGACCAAATTCATAAGCATACCCAAAGAAATGTATATGGGGAGGGAGAAGGGCATGAAAAGGTGTTGAGAATACATCACCTTGTCTGTGGGTTCAATGTCAATTTCAATCTCCTTTCCTGTCAGCGTCTGAAAAAGACAAGGGTTTCATGAAAAAAACAAGATGGCAGATCGGGTAGACTTGCAGTAAGGAGCTCCGTCAGCAACAACAAAGAATACCAGACCAAGTAGGCTCAGGGGATGGTGCAAGAACTATGAACCAAATATAAAGGAATATTTAGAAGCTTGGAAGGCTTACAGCTAGGGAAATTTGTAGCAGAATCAAGAAATCCATTGCTTTCTAATTCAAGATGCTCAGCTGCTCCCGGAGGAGCTGCCATCTTGGGAGAGACCAAGTGGGGGAAGGATCAGAATAGCTACGAACGCCTGACAGAACCACGGAGATACAGGTGTGGACATTATTTTTTCGGGGTACCTGTTCATTGGTTTCTTGCTGTCTGCACACCTCCATTCTGGTTACTAGAGGGGATGCCTGAGTAAATGGACACCCACCAACAGCCCTCCCTGCAGGGTTCTACTATGCATGCATGTGCACAGATCTCCTCAGTTTCCACTTAAAACCAAATGGCCACCACTTGTCTGTCAGTTTGTCATACTGTGGTGGCTTGTGAGTTGCTGTGATTCTGAAAGCTATGCCACCAGTATCTTAAATACCAGCAGGGTCACCCATGGTGAACAGGTTTCAGATGAGCTTCCAGTCTAAGACAGACTAGGAAGAAAGAGTGACGAACTATTTCCGAATATTTAGTCCCTGAAAACCTTATGAATAGCAGAGAAACAGTGTCAGATATAGTGCCGGAAAATGAGCCCCTCAGGTTGAAAGGCACTCAAAATGAGACTGGGGAAGAGTTGCCTCCTCAAAGTAGAGTTGACCATGATGACACAAATGGAGTAAAGCCCATGGGAGAAAAGCCCACGGGGCCTTCATTTGCTGATGGGTCACAACTCAAAATGAAGACAAACAGCTGTAAACATCCATTGAAAATCGGAACATAGAATGTAAGAAGTATGAGTCTGGGAAAATTGGAAGTTGTCAAAAATGAAATGGGACGTATAAGCATCCATACCTTAGGCATTGTTGTTGCTGTTGTT